TGTCGCTGTGATAAGACACCTGATCAAAGCCGTTTAAAGGGAAGGGATTTCTTCAGCACTCAAGAGTTCCAGGCCAGCCTGGTCTACAGAGTGAGTTCCAGGACAGCCAGGACTACACAGAGAAGCCCTGTCTCAAAAACACCCACCACCCCCCCCCCCAAAAAAAGAAAGGGAGAAGGAAAACTTTAAATACAATTTTTTTTTTTTGGTTTTTCGAGACAGGGTTTCTCTGTATTGTTTTGGAGGCTGTCCTGGAACTTGCTCGGTAGACCAGGCTGGTCTCGAACTCACAGAGATCTGCCTGCCTCTGCCTCCCGAGTGCTGGGATTAAAGGCGTGCGCCACCAACGCCCGGCTAAATACAATTATTTTTAAAATAAAAATATTAAACAAATAAAACATACCCAACAAAGTCAAAGGGGAGGTATGAAACTCTTCTCTAGAGATTATGTGGGCAGTCATCTTTGTCCTGCCCTGACAGGGTCTTTGGTAGGAGTCACAGGAATGCAAAGACTGGTGTCTAGTGTCTAGACCATCACTGACTACATTGTCCTAGGTGTTACTTTCTGCCACTCCCACAGCAGCTCTGGTGTCTGAAGAGGACAGTGGTCCTGGGATCAAGGATATTATCTTGTCCCTCTACCATCTCTTAATAAATGCAGAGGAAGCTCCATGCAGAATTCTTCCATTCCTTTCCTTCTAAAACGGCTGTGACAGGCTGGAGTGATGACTCAACAGGTGAGATCACTTATCACTGACAGAGGACCCAGGGTCAGTTCCCAGCACCCACATGCTGAGTCACAGCAGTCCATTACCCTGGGACCAGGGAATGCAACACTCTTTTCAGACCTCCAAGGGCACCAGGCTCATGCATGGTGCACAGAACCATGCAAACAAAACACTACAGATAAAAAAAAGCAAGCAAATGTTAAAACTGGTGTAATAGGGCCCTAGGTGCATAGGCTTAACTTGGCTTTTGGTTTTTTTTTTTATTTTTGGTTTTTCAAGACAGGGTTTCTCTGTGTAGCCTTTGCTCTCCTGGAACTCACTCTGTAGACCAGACTAGCTCAAACTCAGACATCTGCCTCCCTCTGCCTCCCAAGTGCTGGGATTAAAGTCGTGAACCACCACTGCCCAGCTTATCTTGTATTGTCTATCCACAGAAATATATGTGATTACTTACCCAGAGCCCATATCAATAGCAGAGTTAAATGTCTATAATTTAAAAATTAGGATGCCTCTGTTGGCGAAATTAATAAATTCAGTGATCAAAACACTGCTTCACCAGAAGCAGCATAGCAGGCACCCATCAGACGGATTCAGGATGCAAGGGAATTGGAGAAGTTTCTGGTTCAAATGGACGACTATGGTTTTGTTTTTGTTTTTTTGTGGACAGGGAGATAGCATTGCCATGGCCTTGGAGGTTGCTTCTCTGGATGGTACATAGGACATATAAGTAGGTAAAGAATGGCCTGCAGTATCGTATTTCTACACTGGATCTGATACACAGAAAAGAGTGAAGACCCCTGTACACAGGGTGCAGGAGTAGGTGGAATGGAGAGCATCTTCACACAGCAGGAAAGGCAGATGGCTGCCGTGTGCTGCAGACCCAAAGCTGCTCCCAGAGAAGGCTCAAGCGTAACACGTCCTGTGAATACACCTATCTCAATTGTGACAGCATGGAACACTTGACTAATGGAACTAATCTACATGGCAAAATCTCCCTGTGTTGTTACTGAGATTACAGAGTCTTTCCTAAAAATGTTCATTTAGTGAATTGTATGTATTGGCCAGTCAGGTGTTTCTGTTTTGGGGATGGGGGGGGTTCAAGACAGGGTTTCTCTGTGTATCTCTGGCTGTTCCAGAACTTACTCTGTAGGCCAGGCTAGCAACGAACTCAGGGATCCGCCTGCCTTTGCCCCCCACCCCAGTGCTGGGATTCGAGGCGTGCACCACCACCACCGGATCTAGTCAGGTGTTTCTAATCCTCACTGTGATTTTAGAGTCATTTGGTGATCACTTTTTAAAAAAAAAGATTTTTTTAAATGTGTACATGTGTCTGTGTGGGGGTATGTGCACAAGTGCCTGTGGAAGCCAGAAGAGGGCGCTGGAGTTACAGGCAGTTGCGAGTCACCTACCATCAATGCAGGGAACTGAACTCAGGACCTCTGGAAGAGCAGCGCATGCTCTTAGCCACTGAGTTATCTCCCTAGGCTCTTTTAAATAAACAGTTACAACAATATTGCCCCACTCAAGTTACCCAATTATAGTTTAAATTAATTACACCATCTTGCAATAAAGCATTGACTGAAGGAAAACAAAAGTGGGCATTACTTTCATGAAGGGGAGTTTGTCTTAGTTAGTAGGTGGCTCACTAATAGTTTCAGAGGTTCAGTTGGTATCACCAGGGCAGGGAACATGGCTACATCTTGATCAGAGGGCAACAGGAAGTGGGCTGTCTGTCACACGGAGCAAACCTTGAGCACAAAGAGACCTCAAAGCCTGCCCCCACAATGACGCACTTCCTCCAACATGGCCACGCCTCCTTTAACAAGGCCACACCTCCCAATAGTGCCACTCCCTTTGGGATTATGAGGGTCAATTATATTCAAACCTCCACAGGTGTCACACTGTCACAGTCCTCCTTCAGCCGATTTGTAGCTTGGTAAATTGCACAATGTTCTCAAAAGCCAGGTGGCCAAGAAGTGCTGTTTTCTTGCTTTTCTCCTTGTTCTCTCATCCTCTCCACAAACCTCGTGTTTACCAGGGCTATGTGATATATTTGGAGGGGAGTGAGATGTGTGCATCCTCTCCATTGTGAGTTTGACCTCAGTAAATATTAGTTCACATAAGCCACATTTTAAGATTTGGTACTGTTTTCATTTATAAGATTTTTTTTGTTTTTGTTTTTGTTGGTTTGTTTGTTTTTAGAGACAGGGCTTCTCTATGGCTTTGAAGGCTGTCCTAGCCAACTAGCTCTTTGTAGACCAGGCTTGCCTCTGCCTCCCAAGTGCTGGGATTAAAGGCATGAGCTACCATCACTGCCTGGCTCTAAGAAATATTTTTGAGTTTGTTTTTTGTTTGTTTGTTTGTTTTTTGAGTATGCGTGGGGGGGTCCTGGTTGATTTTCTGTTTTTTTTTTTTTTTGTTGTTGGTTGGTTTTATTTTTTCATTTGTCTGTGTTTATATATATATACCCACATGCATGTGGGTGCCCTAGGAAGCCAGAGAGGGCGCTAGAGTTACAAGTGGTTATGAGTCCCATCCCCTAATGTGGGTGCTGAACGTAGGTACTGTGGAAGAGACTTAATAACTCTTGAGACATCTCTCCAAGCCCTAGTGGGTTTTGATTTTGGGGGAGGGGGTGGGGAAGGCGGTGAGATAGTTTGTTACTGTGTAGCCCAGGTTGGCCTTGAATTCTCCAACTGTTACTGATCTGCCTGTAGGGGCCTCTCGAGTACCAGGATGCCAGGTTTGTGCCACCAAAGTCAGCTGTAGTTTAGGAGTATGTTTGTGTGTGGGTGTGTGCACATGGGAGCCGGTGCCCCTCAACACCAGAAGAGGGCATTAGGCCCCCTGGAGCCAGAGTCACAGGCAATTGTGACCCACCCAGGATGAGTACTGAGGACCAATCTCTCCAGCCCTAGTTTGTGACCCGTAACATATTTTCTAAACTAGGGAAAGTAGCTCAGTAGAAGCGTGTTCATGTAGCTCGTGCAAGGCCCTGGATCCATTTTCCAGCAGAATTACATAGCAAGAGCTGGGTGTTGGTGGCTCACGCCTTTAATCCCAGCACTCGGGAGGCAGCGGCAGGAGGATCTCTGTGAGTTCAAGGCCGGGCTGGTCCACAGAGTGAGTTCCAGGACAGGCTCCAAAATAATACAGAGAGCCGGGCGTTGGTGGCGCACGCCTTTAATCCCAGCACTCGGGAGGCAGAGGCAGGTGGATCTCTGTGAGTTCGAGGCCAGCCTGGTCTACAAGAGCTAGTTCCAGGACAGCCTCCAAAGCCACAGAGAAACCCTGTCTCAAAAAACCAAAACCAAGCCGGGCGTTGGTGGCGCACGCCTTTAATCCCAGAGGCAGGCGGATCTCTGTGAGTTCGAGGCCAGCCTGGTCTACAAAGTGAGTTCCAGGACAGCCTCCAAAGCTACAGCGAAACCCTGTCTCGAAAAACCAAAACAAACAAACAAACAAACCCAAAACCAAACCAAAGTTGACGGGAGATGGTAGAGAGAAGGGGATGGCAGAAAGTGTGTCAGTCACTCTTAAGGTGCAGGTCTGTGGTAGGCTTGGCTAGCACATGCAAGGTCCTAGACTGGGTCCCCAGAAAGCGAAAGAAAGAAGGAAAGAAAGAACATGTCACCGAGGCTTTCATAAAATTGACATGGAAGGAGAACCTCTCCCATATATAGGTACTTTGCAGGGTCAGGATGATATGGGACAAATGCCAGACAGCAGAGGCTTGGCCCAGCTCTCATCGGAAGGGAAATGCGTGCACAGGAGGCCAGGTGTGGGGCAACGGCAGTCCCACAAAGGCAGAGTGCGCACGCCGAGCAGAAAGCTCCGGGGCCGCAGCCCATGCTGTCTGCACGTCTCCCTTCCCAAATCCAGCCCTGCAAAGAAACCGTAAGCTCCAGACAGGGATCTGACTAAAACCGGAGGCACAACTCGGACCAGAAGATTTCAGAGCCGTCTCCCCGGGCTCTGAGGCTTAAAAACCCGGCCATTGCAGTTGGAAGCATCCGCTTGCCAATATGAGGTGGGGGAGCCGGCGTGGCAAGGCAGAAAAGGGCGGGAAAGTGAGGCGCTAAAGAAAGAAAGAACGGGCTGAGGGGAGGGGAAGAACCCGCGCCTGGAGCCAATGAATAGGGCCGAGGCTGCGGCGCGTGCGCCGGGCCGCAGCGCGCGCAAGCGCACGCCGGGAGATCTCGCGGGAAAGAGCCGTTGTCCGTGCCGGTGTTGCTGCGGGGAGACTAGGGGAGGAGGGGCGGGGAGTGGAGGCGGGAGCGAAGTCTCGCGAGAAGAGGCAGTTGCCGTAGCGGAGCCCTCTGGCTCTGTGAGTGTGTGAGTGGATGTGAGCCGCCGCCAGAGCCGCGGACGGTTTGCTCAGCCCGTTAGCGCCGCTGGTCCAGACTCCCGCCGCCGCCGCCATGTCCCGCTACCTGCGCCCCCCCAACACGTCTCTGTTCGTCAGGAACGTGGCAGACGACACCAGGTGAGAGCAGCGGGGCAGCTACTGCGCGGGGGAGGCCGCGGGCGCACGGCGAGCGAGCAAGCGAGCGGCGGCGCGGGGGAGGGGCGGGGCGAAGATGGCGGGGCCCGCGCGGGGACTAGGCCGCGCCGCCGGCCTCTGCTGGCCTGCGGGAGCGAGGGCGGGCCCCGGGCCGGGCCGAACCGCAACCGCCACCAGGCATGCGGGCCGGACACCCAGGACCCTTCCTCCCCGCGTGTGCCTGGCATGTCCAGTCTGGCGGGCCGGACGAGGGTTCTCATTGATCCGACGTCCACGTTCCATGGGGTGCACGCCCCCTCGCCTGGAAAGGGATTTTTGTTGTGGAAAGAAAAAAGGTTGCCAGGCGGGGCGGCCCGGGCCGGTGATCCCTGCACTCGGGGAGGCTGAGGCGGGAGGATCGGCGCGAGTTCGAGGTCATCTCGGGCTACGAAGTGAGCACCCTTTGGCCAAGTCGGCAAACAGAAAAGATGCCAGTGAGAAATAACGGGATGGAGGGCGGAGTGTTTGTTGCTTTATCTTCCTCAGCTGTGTGGTAGTTAATGGCTTAGAGACAATCGGGGAGAGGGGCATTGTTGAGATTCTGAGAAACTAGTTTTCCGGTCAAATGGAGTATTCCCTCATGTTTCGCGGAAATCGCTTTGAAAACGGAGTGCTCAATAAATCTCTCCCGTTAGGACTTTCGTAGTTAATTTAGATGAACGGAGGCAAGTAGACCTTGTCGCCGGGCGTAGTCCCAGCACTCAAAAGACGGGTCCAGGAGTTCGAGGCCAGCCTGGTAAAGGCTTTATTTTCAGCGATTCCCCTGCTTTGAATTACCCTCGGATTTTTTTTTACTTTATTTATTTATTTTTGGTTTTTCGAAACAGGGTTTCTCTGTGACTTTGGAGGCTGTCCTGGAACTCACTCTGTAGACCAGGCTGGTTTCGAACTTAGAGATCTGCCTGCCTCTGCCTCCTGGGTGCTGGGATTAAAGGCGAGCGCCACAACCGCCCGGCGCTCTCGGAATTTTTTGAAAGAGATTTTTTAGCACACGATCATGCTTCGTGTCTGTAAATATAATTTCCAAAGAAAAACTTGAGTTTTTGTTAGTGTTGTGGAGTTTTATCTCCTCTTGTCATTACGCATAAAACAAAAGTGGTTCATTAACGGCTATAAAAGTCTTTTTGACATTTAGGAGTTTAGATATTGTGGTTTTATTATTTCACATTTTTGTTGTCTGACCTGTTGAACAATTTTAGGGTAAGCTGGACATGGTGGCACAGACCTGTAATTCCACCACTTGGGAGGCTAAGTGAGTTAGGATTGCCTTGAGTTCTAAGCTTGCGCTAGAATGAGACCTTGCCTTAAAAGAGAAAGAAAATGATTTATTTTTCGGGACAGGGTTTCTCTGTAGACCAGGCTGGCCTGGAATTCAGAGATCCGCCTGTCTCTGCAGGGATTAAAAGCATGCACCACCTTAATTACTGCTTTTAAAGACGTAGAAGACTTTGTTGTTTATGAATGGTGAACACTGAGGGTTTTTTTTAATTGTAATTATTTACTGACATGTGAAATGGTATAAGCACCTCCCTCTTCTCTTCCTGGAGACAGAATCTCAGATGTCTTAGGCTGGCTTTGAACCTACTTTTTATCCTTCCTGCCTTATCCATCTTGGTTACTGGCATAAAATACCATGCCCAGCCCGAGTGCTTTCTCTTCCCGCCCCATGTTCCAGCTCAGGCTGTAGCCCAGGCTACCTTGAACTTGTAGCAATCCTCCTACCTCAGCTTTTCCAGTACTTGGGTTGCAGTTGAGCTGCCACACTTGGGTTTTGTTTTTTTGTGTCGATTGTTTTGGTTTGGTTTTTGGTTTTTTGTGCCAGGGTCTCACTATGTAGCCCTGGTTTACCTGGAACTCACAGATTTTTCCTGCCTCTGCCATCACAGTGCTGGAGTTAAAGAAAGGTTGGCTACCTGTTGTATGGTGTGGGATTTTTGTTTTGTTGGGGAAGAGTTGTTTGTCTTTGGATTTCTTCACGTGACCTGGCTGTCCTGGAACTCACTATGTAGACCCAGGCAAGCCTTCAACTCAGATCCACCTGCCTCTGTCTCTTTGGGATAAAAGGTGTGTGTCACCTTTGAGAGTCAGGAGGCTTGTTTGTTTCAGGTTGGCCCAGACAGGGATCCATGGGTTATACTATTGTCAACCACAATCCCTATATTCCTTAAATTCCTTAAGATGATACTGAAGTGTAATTGCTGGAATATGAATATAAAAAGTTTGAGTTTTTTCATGATGTTTTAGGTCTGAAGATTTACGTCGGGAATTTGGTCGTTATGGTCCAATAGTAGATGTTTATGTTCCACTTGACTTCTACACTCGACGTCCAAGAGGATTTGCATATGTTCAATATCCTTTCTTCAGATGGATGATTAGTGAGGGGTGTTGAAGTTTGAAATTCAAGTTTTTATGTAAGTGGTAACATCTAAAAAATAGTTTTTGTCCTCTAATGTCTTCATGTCTTCAAATCTTTTAAAATTCTGATTCATTGCTCTATTTCTTAAAGTTAATCCAAAATAAACATTTAAATTCCCATCCATGCTGCTGAAACTCAAATCAGTGATTATAATGTGATTTAAATTTGAATACATTGGTTGCTACCACCTTTGCTATAAATTAAAAGTTAATGTGTTCTTGTGCTTAGCAATTAAACGTTTAGTAATCTTGTTTGTTATTTTGAATCACTTGATCAAAACAAATTGTATAACAATGAGGTAAACTTCTTTAATATTGTCCCCTAATTTGCTGTCCTCTGTTGTTACCTCAGAATGTAAAGCTGTACAGTTATGGCGACCCCAAAGAGAAAGCATGAAAGAACTTTTAGAGTAGAGTTCAACACTTAAGGCAAGTAGACAAGCCAAAGACCTCTTAAGGATCAGGCTTGAAGAGAAGGGAGAGTTTGGGAAAAGAAAAAATAAAGAAAAGCTGGAAGAAGGACAAGCCTAATGGGAGACAAAGCCTCGCTTTATCCACAAAGGGGGAAAAGGTTGTTTTTCAAAGTTAAAGATAAAGCAAAGCCATCTGTCATATTTGACCAAGCATCTCATGACAAGTCCTTCTGACAAGCACTAAAAGAGTTAAAGGTCAAGATGAAGTTGAATGATGGCCAAGATTAAAGGAGTCATACCTGATGTATCCTACAGAATAACTACTTTCTTTTTTTTCTTTTTTTTAATGTTTTGCAAGCACTTAATTTTCATAATTATGCTGGTTTGGTCTAGTGACAAAACCTGTAACTTGAATTTGTGTGGGCCTTTGATATTGTGATTGTGGTCTTGTATGAGTGTATTTTCTCCTACCTTATCGAGCAAAATATAACATTGTTAAGTTTAAATTCAGCATAATTGGGTTTTAGACCAGGTAATCAGAGGCTCTTTGGAGTAGCATGAGGTACTTGAACCCAGTCACAGAGCCCTACCTAAAGGGGAAAGGCAGGTGCATGCACTGGGGACAACTTAGAAAAACAGCTGGGGTGTTCAGGGTATGGCCACTAGAAATATGTAGAGATAGTTTCCTTTGGTGGTTTTTTGAGTTGATTTGTTTTTTCTAAGTAGCTGCTGGTTCTTAGAATCCTGCTGGTTATGAATGGATAGCAAAAGGGCCTTCCTGGCTTGGGTCCTGGTCGGGATATATGGCCAGTCATCCTTGACCCAGAGTTTCAGGTGATCTTGTTTCTGCCCACCTTCTGTAAGGTCATTTCCCTGCTCAAAAGGAGGAGGGGCTGGAGGGGGAGGCTGAATCTGAAGCCAAGAAACTTTCTTGTTGCTTAAATTTCAATTTCTTGAAACTCTGATCTTGTAAATTCTTAGTAAAACTCAGGCAAAAGCCAAAAGATGCTCATGTGGGGCCAATGGTCAGGAGAACCTTGTGAATTAGTTGTGAAACTTAAAGGGTAATACCTATATCTGGCTTCATTAAATACATCGATCCAGTCTGCCTTATAATGTTGATCAGGGTTTGTGTGATTTGAGGTAACCTGGGAACAATGTCAGCACTACTTTACCTCAGGGGTATGTTGTACTTGACAGTAGTGGGTAGTAAAATCCAGAGTAGGTGGTAAATTAGTTTTGTTTAGGGAGCATAAAAATTTCTTGATGGCCAATATAGTGATACCTGGCTGTCCCTACCTACTGCTGCTGTGTCGTGGAAGTCCATGTGTCTGTTCCTACCCTTGTTTTAAGAGGTTAGGTAAATTAAAGAACCTTGCCCTCCAGGCCAAGATTCTGTTTTTAAACTATATTCTTCTCTCTTGGGGTAACAAAGTAATATGCCAATCAGTGATCTAATTCCTGTTTAGCACCTAAGTGCAGTTAACCTTGAGGGGTGTTTGTTTATAGCATTCAAGGTTCTATTAAAGTTGGAAGCAGGGTTATATTTGAGACTTTGGAAAACCTCTCCTGTTTAATCTACTTGTAATAGGCTCAAGGAAGACACCTTGAGACCTATGACCCTTGATTTCTTTCAGAACAAAAAACGGGGGAGGTCTAGTGATAGCCTGAAGTAGACAGTGTTTATCTATGGAAATATGTCCGCCTTGAAATTTGGAGGTATTTTCTTAACTGATGCTCCAAACCTGTCCTTCTGATGTTTCAAAAACTTGAACTGGATGTGCTTAGAGTCACAATTTTGGGATATAGTGAAAATCCATTCCAAAAATCAGCTCTCAGATAGGACCTTTCATGTCCTTAGCTCCCATTAGAATGGTGCCTTTTTTTTTTTTTTTTTTTTTTAAAGAAAAGATGTGTTTGGACAAAATAACCCAACCTAGAGGTCCTCAAGTACTGTTGCTGACATGAGAGAAGCACCTTCATTTCTCAGATGATAAATTGGGTGACGACAGTTTTTCTACTTAGTACTGGTAATAACTGCCACGACTCAAGTGGGAACCACTCTGAAATGCTTTCTACAGGAAGCTGTGGATTTAGGGTCATAGTTGGGTTTTTCAATCCAGGAGTCCTTATGCCACTTGTTAATAGAGTGCTTTTATAGTCTGCATGGATGGAATATGCATTTGGCATAGTGACTGAGTGTATTGCTTGACTCTGACTTAATGCCTATAAATGACTAGCATGCCTGTCTATCCTGTGCAGTGCAAGGAGGACAACTACGCGAAAAATAGTATTGCCTGTGTCTAAAATTGTCTTTCACCTATTGTGAAGCATATTCTGTCTTTATTTCTTGTTTTATAAAGTTAATTCTTAGAATGTGTAGTTTTCTGTAGTGTACCTTGGTAGTTCAGTTATAGCCAATCTTATTACAGCCTGTATTTACATACGTTTCTTTAAAAGTGTATACTTTATACACTTTTTTATAGTATAAGATATAGTTAATTGCAACTGTTTTTATGCTGTGATATTAATGACTGAGTCCACCAAATAGTTAAGTTAGGTCTGGGTGAACAATATTGGGTGATTGTGAGTTGTTTCAGTCTTTACAAATCATTTATTATCAAAGTTTACAAAACTTTTCAAGCCCCTTAACATTTAGCACATTTGAGGATGTTCGTGATGCTGAAGACGCTTTACATAATTTGGATAGAAAATGGATTTGTGGGCGTCAAATTGAAATACAGTTCGCACAGGGGGATCGGAAAAGTAAGTACCCTTGAGCCTAACATGTACATTGTGTTGCTTTTTGGACTTAAGTTGTTTTTTTTTTTTTTCCCCAAGTCATCTCATAAAGAACTTAATTAGCCAGGCATGGTGTTGCATGCCTTTAATCCCAGCACTCTGGAGGCAGAAGCAGGGAGATCTCAGTTCAACGCCAACCTCATCTACGAATTCCAGGAAGCCATGTTACACAGAGAAACCCTACCTCGAAAAACAAACTAAGAACTTAAAAGTTAATTGGATAGTTATGTTCATGCATTACTGGAAATGAATTCATAGGATTAGCTCCTTTCAGCTTTTCTGTGTATTGATTATCAGAACTATGTGATTGTATGTTGTTGCATTTTGGTGCTACTTTTTTTTTTTTTTTTTTTTTTTTTTGGTTTTTACCAGACCGGGTTTCTCTGTATTGTTTTGGAGGCTGTCGGTCCAGCCCGGCCTCGAACTCACAGAGATCCGCCTGCCTCTGCCTCCCGAGTGCTGGGATTAAAGGTGTGCGCCACCACCGCCCGGAGCTACATGTTCTTTATAGGCCAAATCTTGAATTTCAGATGTTCTTGTGGTATTTGTACCTCTAGTAAAAACTACTTAGCGTGTTGATTAACAAACTAATTGTGAGACAACATTGAAAACAGCCAGTGATTTATTAGTGTTGGTTTTTTAACATTAAGCAGTCTTTTGATACATATATTTAAAGGTAAGTAAAGGTTAATATTCACATTCTAATTATGCCTCTTCACACCAAAACAAAGGCATACCTTGAATTTACAAAACACATTATTTACTTCCTTAGTGTAAGAGAAAGGATGAAAGAATGGGCCAGGTATAGTGACACACAGCACTCGGAGGCAAAAACAGACATATCTCCAGTTTGGGGCTACCCTGTCTAAAGAGTGAGTGCCAAGGCTATTTAATGAGATTTTGTCCTCAAAAACAGAGGGACAGAGAGATAGCTCTAATAGCTGCAACTGCTCTTCTAGAGGATCTGGATTTGATTTCCAGCGTCCACGTGGTGCTAGCAACCTTGTGTTCCAGAGGCAGACCCTCTCTGGACTCTGGGTAATGCATGTGCTGATAACACATGCAAGCGCATCACCCCTTTGGAATCTTTAATGTGGGGGAAGAATTCAGGAATGTTAACTATAGTATAAGGGTTTAGATGCTAAGGTCTTAATGTTTCTAAGTATCTATTTCTATTCTGTTCCCCTAGCACCAAATCAAATGAAAGCCAAGGAAGGAAGGAATGTATACAGCTCTTCACGATACGATGATTATGATCGATATAGACGTTCTCGGAGCCGAAGTTATGAAAGGAGGAGATCGAGGAGTCGCTCTTTTGATTACAACTATAGAAGATCTTACAGTCCTAGAAAGTAAGTGTGGGACACAATGATCTGTTGTTATTTAATGTTTGTAGCCAACTACAGTGGCATTTACCTATAATCTTAGCTTCTCAAAAGACTTGAGATGGGAGGACCACGTGAGCCCAGGAGTTCTTAGGCTCACTTAAACAATAAAATATCATAAGGCCCTGTCTAAAAAGAGGAGTTTGTTAACATGTTTTTTTAAAGTTTGGGGGTTTGTTTTTTTTTTTTTAATTTGTGTATGTTGAATGATTCATTAAAACTAAAGGTGTTTTGGTACTTTATTCTAAAAGTAAGACTATAAATAGACGTTTGTCACTGTTTGCTTTTTCTGCTATGCTTTTTAGCAGTAGACCGACTGGAAGACCACGGCGTAGCCGAAGCCATTCCGACAATGATAGGTAAATAATTTTGCTTTGAAAAAGACTTGTATTTTTCAATTTCAGAGTGAACTTTTGCTCTAAAAGTAACAAAATTGATTTATATAGAATCTAATTTTTACTCTAATTGTATCTCTCCTCTGTTTTGAAAGATTCAAACACCGAAATCGATCTTTTTCAAGATCTAAATCCAATTCAAGATCACGGTCCAAGTCCCAGCCCAAGAAAGAAATGAAGGCTAAATCACGTTCTAGGTCTGCATCTCACACCAAAACTAGAGGCACCTCTAAAACAGATTCCAAAACACATTATAAGTCTGGCTCAAGATATGAAAAGGAATCAAGGAAAAAAGAACCACCTAGATCCAAATCTCAGTCAAGATCACAGTCTAGGTCTAGGTCAAAATCTAGATCAAGGTCTTGGACTAGTCCCAAGTCCAGTGGCCACTGATAGTATAAATCATGATACTTTCTAGGCATGTATCATTCATTTACTCATAGTTTGGTATCCTTAAATTATCAGGAATACAATGTTGCAATGATGCGTTTTAAAATAAAATAAAAAACAAACACTTGTTAGTTTTCCCTGTACCGGGCAATGGTTATAATTAAAATGATATGCTGTTGAGAAGCCACTCTTAAGAGTCCAGTTTGTTTAATGTTATGGGCAGCTACCAATTTGTGGTGTCTCTGTATATTTTTGTAAAGATTCTCATTTTTTATGCTTGAAGTATTTGGTGAAAAGATGTTGGTGACCATAATTTGCAACATTGTCTTATTAAAAATAAATTTTCATACCCATATTTGGTAGAACTGTTAACCTAGAAATGTAGCTTGCTAATAAGATAGAATGATACAAAAGAGAAGTTGTAGCCACATTACAACACTGACTGCTCAGACACATTTAGGTTCAGGGTGGACCTTTATGTCTTGTCAAGATGTCTAAGCCCATGGTAATTATTTATGATGCAATGTGGAATAGTTTTTGTTTGTTTTGTTTTGGGTTTTTTGTTTGTTTGGGGGGGTGTTGTTGTTTGTTTTGTTAACTCCACTGTCTGGGGAATGATGCCAACTGGGTTAAACAGTATTTTCAGGGAGATAGAACTTTTCACTGAAACATGGAGCCTTCACTGCTTTCCCCCTCTTCCCCGCTGGTTTCTAAGATTTGAAACAAAAAATTCCCCCTTAAAAGTGTTGAGCACATCAATGATGGCGGAAATCATTTTAAGGGGAAAAGACTGTTCTTAACATACTTTCTCTAAAATTTAACTATTGTTGATCATTGTTATTTAGGGGTTTGTTTGTTTTTCTGTTAGGAGCAAGTAAACTGTTTGAAAGTATATTTTGTTAATATTCACAGTGTAAAACAGTGAATTTTGATGCTTAATTACAGCACTTGGTATGTGCATTTGTGCCCCAGTTTGCCTGCTCTCTTCATGAGGGAGGCTTGCTCTTTACACCCCAGTTTATTAATTAATGTAGGCAAGTTGAAAAGATGACACTCCTAGGTGACTCTGTGGTGCCGTGAATTTTTGGAAAAAGTTGAGTTTTAAGCAAAAGCCACATCACTTAGTTTTTGATAATGTAGGACATGACTAAAATAAGGAAGTGATACCCTTAAATATTTATAATTTCTAGTGTTTCTCTTCAAGATCATTTGCAGGCAATAAGATGACTTGAAATGTCCAGTGTCATTTCAGAATAAAAAGCAAGCATCTTTAAAATCTCAGACACTTGCTTACAGAAGTGAGTGGAGATGCTGCGGGGGGACGGTTCTTCTAGAGGAATACCTTATTTTTCCTTTCAATTTTGATTTTAGAAATCCTGGCCTTGCTTGTAGAGAACACAAGATGGTTTTTTTTTTTTAAGAACTATTTGTGGAATGTGTTTGGAGGATTAATTCTAGAATCTTTGTATATTTAATAGTATTTCTAACTTCGTTTCTTTACTGTTTGCAGTTAATGTTCTTGTTCTGCTATGCAATCATTTATATGCACGTTTCTTTAATTTTTTTAGATTTTCCTGGATGTATAGTTTAAACAACAAAAAGTCTATTTAAAACTGTAGCAGTAGTTTGCAGTTCTAGCAAAGAGGAAAGTTGTGGGGTTAAACTTTGTATTTTCTTTCTTATAGAAGCTTCTAAAAAGGTATTTTTATATGTTCTTTTTAACAAATACTGTGTACAACCTTTAAAACATCAATGTTTGGATCAAAACAAGACCCAGCTTATTTTCTGCTTGCTGTAAATTAAGCAAACATGCTATAATAAAAACAAAATGAAGGAAATAATGATTAACTGGAATTATTATAGTACTGAATGAGTCTAAAGTAATGGAAATAATCCTTTGTAGATTTAGGAATATTTTAATCAGTGTTGACATTAGGCACAACTAACCTGCTCTGGGGATGATAGAACTTGCCAGAAATCGACATCTTTTACATAGTATTTAATGTCACACTCATTTCATTAACCCTCTTGGGTTAACTAATATAAGAGGTTACTTAGTAGTGTTAATAGGCATATTAAAATGAGAATTTGGACAAGCTAACTATAAACTTATGCTTTCATTATTACAAAGTATCAATTCTGCTTTCTCTTAACCAGTACATGTTGGGTTTTATGTTAATAACATGATTTTAAATTCTTTTTCATGGAATGTAGCTTTGGGGGGTAGATATTTTTGTACATTCAATTCTAGTTATTTTGCAGTAACAATTATATCGGGTGATTTATTCTTTATGCTGTGCCAGACATTGCTAAAGAGACTTGGTTGATTTGTTCACTCTTCACAAAACCCTTTAAGGAAAATACTTCCCCGAATCAGGAAACTAAGGCACAGAGTAAAAGCTGTAAATGGCAGAGCCAAGATAGGAGCCCAGATTTGGTCACTAAATTTTTAAAAACAATAGGTGAAGAGGTACCCCAATAAGATTCGTGCTCAGTATCTGTAGAACAAAAGGCCTGATGTTGGTTTGTTTTTGTCAATTTATTTTTACACTCAGACTGTTTAACTTGGGAAGCTTATGAGTTGTTTGTGAAATGGTATACCCAACAGCTTCACAAGGACTATATACAGTTGAGACCTGGTGCGGATTTTCACACAGTTTTAACCTAAATGTGGATCATATTGTTAAGTTTCATAGTTGATGAGAACCTCCTAGCACTGGGCTCTATTGGATAGATAGGATAGTTGTATCAAGACTCAAGTGAAGGCTTTTGCCTCTTTTCTTTTTACTTAAGCTCTCTGCTTTTGCTTTTTTTTTTTAAATAAGCCAAGTAAGCAAGAAGAAAAGTGAGATAATGAATGAATGCTTCAGTGAGAAAGGACAGGTGTTACATAGAGTTTGAGCTATTAAGTTACAACCTAGGGAAAAGACCTGGGAACTACTGTGCTGTTCTCATGAAAATTTGGCCCAGTAAGCTGCTACATCCAGTTCAACTAACAAAATCCTGTATACCACAGAGAAGAATAAAGAGAAAACCAAACTGACAAACATCCTTCTTTTATTTAAGACCAAACTGCAGCTGGAATACCCAGTACAGTTCTGCTTACTACACTTCAAGAAAGATCTGAAAGCGGAAAAAAGAACCAAAGAAGGGCAGTTCAAGCGACCAAAGGGTGGGTGGAAGGTGCTGCAGTATGAATACTGTACGAATATTTTGACTCTGGTCTGAAAAGATAAAAGAATTATCGAAAGCTACATGGAATAATTGAAGTCCCTTCAAGTTTGAAAGTAAGCATTTTAGGACAAATAAAAGGAAATTCAACTTTGTACTTGTGGAAACTAATCCCTAAATATGAAGAGGTATATATTGACTCATGGGTGGCAAATCCATGATAAGTTATTGGAAACTAGGATGTCGGAATATCAAGGAAGACAGCCATAGTCTCTAACAGTGCCTCTCTTGGTCTGTCTCAAACTAAATTGGATGGTAAAGGTATGGTCCAATATAAAGTTTTTCTTGGTTATCTCTTAAAAGTCAGTTCCACTTAGTCAGTGTTGGCAGGTCTTGCCTTTGCTTATTCCAGTGCCAGTATTTTCTGCTTAATTGTTTGTTTTGTTGGCATCTGAGTTATTTACTTGTATACCATGTGCAGTTTACATCTAACCACTCCTTCCCAGGTTAATTCCACTTATACTTGACATCCAACCATGAGGGCCCATCTCTTTCTCACCTCTTGCCTAGACAGTATGTTCAACAGACATTTACTGAATGAACCCTGACTGTGGGCAAGACATTATACTGGATAATTGGAGAATAGACAGATAATTAGTTAAGTATCTGAGTACAGTCTAGTGAATCATTACAGTGTGGCTATATCTTGAGGTGTATTGTGACAATACTTCATGCCATTCATGTCCTAATGTAAATTGTAAACACAACATACTATCAAAGATAAGTAATTTTATGGTTGTCTGCCATTTTAAGTTATAACAACAAATAATGAAGAAAAGCTGTGAAAAGCAGATTTACTGTGCAGTGGTTAATATACTAGAGTAATACTAAATTGTTAGCCCCTGGCTCAGTCAAACAAATAGATAGTCCCCAAAATAACAAGTATATAACTTTGTACTAAAGCAGACCCTGGGTGCTATAATTAGATTATTTTGAGGCAGACAGCTGTTACCCCATGGACTTAGCATATTCTGTATTGGGAAAAAATGTTTACCAGATCCGACTTTTTAGTGATCTACTTGTACATTTTATGGGGGACATAATTCTGCGTGTATAGTTGATAACTTTATAGTGTCAATGTTTTTGATTCCTTGGTTCCTTGTTAGGATATGATGCTTGTTTATTGATTCCATCACTTTTGAATTTTTGTTGTATTTTGCCACATTTTTAAGCTGTCAAAATCTGAAATCTGGAAAGTGTAAAGCCTTTTATAACAAATTTTAAAATGTGATAGGATTACACATAAATGAAGGGAGGTAAAATGAAGGTTATTTTATCTGTGTTAAAAACAAAGTTTTTTTAGTCTGCCCAAACTTAAAAAGGCAGCAGGTACCAGGTGAGAATTATAAATTTTGGCTTCATTTTTGTTGCTGTTTTTATTTTGAATCAAGTTGGAAATGCTTTTATAGTTTTATTTTCAAGGACATAATAAAATTGATAAAAACTGAATTTAGCATTTATTTCAAGATTATAAATAACTAAATGTATTTTATACCATACAAACTCATTAGCATTGGATTGGTTTTAAAGATAGAGGTTCTGTGTATCTGTGCAGTTCATGGGTGTTTTGTTCCCTACCTCCCCTCTCCATTTCCTTTCTAATTGAACTTAAGGCCTTCCAGAGGAGAGAATTGAGTTGTGTATTCACATGAGGGTTTTGTTTTAATTGTACTTTTTGGGTTTCTTTGCTTTTAGGGGTTTCATTTGCTGGGAAATAACCTTGTTCATTTACAAGTACAATAACAGTACTTGACAGCTCTTAAGTTTAAGTGTGGTAAATTAGAAAGGGCCCCTGTGGTTCAGGTAGTTGTAGAGTTAAATTGTTTTAGTCTTGTCTACTGTGGTTTTCCATGTATATTAAAGGCTGTCAATATTACTAAGCACTTTCTGTGCCAAGTTGTATGTTTTCCAGATATTCCTACTTAACCTTAAATCGCTTGTCTTCTGTGGGAAGCCCACCATGTGGACAGAAAGTTTTGCATACATACATACATTCATTCATTCCTTACTACCTTCTAAGTATTCCACAATTGTAGGCTGTTTGGAGCTTGGGTACTCAAAGCTGACTTTTCCAAACTTCAGTTTTCTTTTGAGTCTTTGTTGTGCCGCCCTTTTTTTAAAAAACAACAAAAAAAAAACCAATAAAGATGTTCCTTCTTATAAAACATTGAGATTAAAGACTAACTTGAGCACCAAGAATCAGGATCATCAAAACCCTTAGGTGTCCCAGAAAGGAAGTGTTCTCAATTTTCGGTGATGATCTGATAGATGAATAAACAACTATCAGTTTCCTCAAGGTAGTCTATTCATTGTGGAAGATGACTCTTTGCTCTTAAGTGTTTTCTGTCTCTTCCTCCAACAATGTTAATGTTTGTGTATTTGTAAAGCTGGTTCACCGTTCACCCTGTGTTAAAAGTGGAGGTTTTTTTTTTTTGTGGAGTTGCGGGGATAAAAGTTTGAGGCATGTAAATTTCATTAGTAACAGTTTGTAAAGAAAGAAAAAAGCCTTTGTAATCCAGGTGTTTTGTAGAACACATTGCTTTTGAATGCTGGAGAGATTAAAATAAAATGGTCTAGGTGCTTTTTTAAAAAAGTATTGGTTTTTCTGTAGACTTTGTTGTACCTGACAGGTATGACTACTCCAGTAGACAGTTTTGTTTTTGAGGTTTTAGAGCTCTGTTCTTTGATGAAGTCATTACCCTTGAAAATCGGATGGAGGGGTGGAAACTGCAAAACTTAGAGCCTTTTGAAATCCTAGTACATGTATTTTGTGCTTAATAAAGTAAGGTTGTCATGGAGATCATACTACAGTGCCACCAAAATCACATAAAGCTTGTACAGTATGTGGCTACCAGACTTCATGAGTGCTTTTTTATTTGTTGGTGTTTCTGTAAGTAATGGGCTTACGGATATGCTTTATTAGCATCTAAAATGAGGTGTTTTATTAAATCGGTTTATAAAGTGGCTACACATTTTAGTCCCAAACCAGGAATCCAATTATAATCCTGTATTCTAACGTATACATCAAAAACAAATGTATAGGCAAAGGCAGAAGAAAGATTTTAACATTAGCTTTGATCACAGAATTATACTAAGACATCAAATGATAATTCAACCTTTTCCTCCAAATACTTCCTGCATCTTGCATGAAAGTATGGCCTTCATGCGGCATTGATCAAGTAATTTAAAGCGCTTTTACGTAGATCTGCCCACGGAGCCATTATACAATTGCTGATTACTTTCAGACAAAAGTCTCCATGTAGCCCTTGCTGGATCTCAGACTTGATCTCACTCCCTTTGCCTACACATTCTAAAGAATTTTTGCTAGTTTGAATCCTGACAATTTTCTGTGAACTGTCTTAAACTCAACATTGGTAAGGTTGCACAAGTTTGGTTTTATCTTTTACTATGAGCACTGCAGGAAAGGAAGTTTAATATATGGCTGGGTATGGTGGTACACACCCTTAATCTCAGCATGCTAGACAGACTCAAAAGAAGGTCCAGTTTAACAAACAGTAAGCAAAGCAGTATTCTCACATACCAACAGTCATACCCCAAGATTAGTAGCCGCAAATCCTTAAAATGAAAACGATCATTGGGGAGGAAAAAAATTTTATTTCTGAATTTTGCACTTCAAAATCATACAATTTTATAGACTTGTCCCTTAGGATACTTAATGTTTGATTTGGGCAGTATTTGTTTTGAACTTAATTGACTATTTTGCTTATAAGCACTGAAAACTTTACACAAATAATCCTAGGTCACTTAATAATTTTAGGATTTGATAAAGTCAAAATTAATCTCTGTATTTAAAAAGGTGGAAAGAATCTTAAATCTCTAAAGACAGGAAATGTCTTAGCTTACAGCCTTTTGATACAAAATTTAATACAATAATAGATTTACTTTGTATGGGTCACAATCTGGTCAATCACATCAGTACACTGGCACTTAAGCACAAGAGCAATTTTTTAAAACTGGAGACCTCTAAAATTAGGCCATAGTATTAAAAAAAAAAGTCCATGGTCTTACATTCAGCAAATTCACACTAAAAATAGTCTTTTTAGAATAAAGGCCAGAAAACTTTACATATGTTACAAGCGTATTACATGTATTTACATGGCTCTTTTCTTCTGTAGGTATTTAATTTTCACATACACAACTCCCTGCAAAGCAAGCTTTGTAGGGGTGAGTCCAGATCAGTAGCTTTGTAGGATGCTATCAAATAAAATTTTTCTTTGAAAGCTAGTCAACAATTTGATTGAAAAAAAATTTGGTACATAAATGCCTGCCCACTGCCTTTAGGAAATGACCACTGGGCCATCTACTTAACCTAATTCTAATAAGCTCCAAATGCCCTTTACACATTTACCACAAACAGATGAGCAGCTACTTACAAAGATGCCCATGATGTTATGGTTTGGGTCCCTACATGTAACTCAACTGTGCACCTTCTTTGCAGTCTTTGTATATCTCAGCTAAATGCTTATTGTCTTTTTTTGTTGTTTCGGTTCATGTTAGACAATAAAAAAGCTAGTTATTGATCCCCAAATCTAAGCTTCAATTAGCAAAACTACCAAGTAGAATTAAACTATCCTAATACTCCATACAGTACATAAATGTCTGTTTATACTTATAAATTAGCAGTTTTATATAAAACTTCCCTAAAGTCAAACCTTAACTGATGGCTGTGTGAATATCACAAAATTTAAAAGTAGTACTTAAGATTTTAAACCTGGACTTTAAGTAGGGTTTTGAGTTGAAATGTCATTATTTCCTTATCTGAAGGGCTCAATGAAACAGGAACCCAGTGGCTGGGTGGCTTGGGGAGAACACTTGGTGATGGTGGTTCACTAAATTTGGCTCCGGCATAGTTTTGGTTAGCTTGAGGCTTAAAAAGCAAGCTTGGACTTGATAAGCTAGCATTCCAATTGGAGTTGTTAGCGAGGCTCTTGTTCTTTCCCCCATTCTGCATGGCCTGCCATGCAGCTGCCGGTGGACTGTACCCATGTCCTCTTTCTTTTTTCTTGTGAACGGTCTTCATCTGGGGATTCTGATCCTTGGTCTTCTGTCTACTGTGCTGCTGTTGGTTCTTACTAACATTTCTAGATTGGGGGGCTGGAATGTTATACCTCTCTCCACCACCCATCTTCAGCTTCTTTGTCACCTGTAAGTAAATAAATGGAAACTAGTAAAATTCCACATGTCCTTTTTGAAGTTCCCAAAGTTCCAATTCTAGTAATGTTAATAAAGAAAATAAGGCTAGCTGTCATGAGACAGGCTTGCCCCAACAGACTATTTGCCTCAAAAATATTGAAGCAAGTTTGAAGTCAAATACCAGCTGTTTGTGAAAGCTAAATAAAATTAACGTACTTGAATACAGCCTAAGAAAATGACCACCACACTTAAATTCACCATCACCCCTTTTGGGCAGGGTCACCTTACACCAGACTGCCCTCCAACTTGAAGCAGTTTTACCCCAACCTCTTGAGTGCCTGGACTGCAGGGATATAGCATGGCTCCAGTACTTAATGGTTTAGAATTGCATCTATCATAAAATAGTATACACACCTTTCAGTCTGCTTTTCAGATTGCAGGATTTCCACTCCTTGTCCTCTTCCCTGCTGCCAAGCCCAGGATAAGAGATGCTGCTTTCTGCTAGATCCTTTTCTTTGTCTCAGTACATAAGTTTTCATGAGCCAATCTGCTGATTTCAGCCTAGGAGCTGAGGCCAACATCGAGTCTCCTCAGCACACAAGTTTGAGAGAAGTCCTAGCTAGAAAAGGAAAGATAATTACTTGAAAACAACCCAAGAAAGTGATCGCTTAAACACTTAACTTTCCACATAAGTAAATGGCTACCAAGGTTTCTAGAAGATACATGAGACCATGACTTTGATCTCATAAATGTTAACTTAAAACTCTTGGCGATGTCTTGTTGAGGCCTGTCTACGCGTTTTAAAGTCAAACTTAGAAAGCATTCTCGCTTCTGTGACCACATCAAAGAACTAGGGACCATGTTTTTTTAAGTCTGGGTTTTCTGCTTCCAACCCCACACACTTCCACACCAAGGCTCTTCCCAACAATGTACACAGTGCTTTAAGTTACGACTCTACACTCCCGGTCCCGAAACGAACGGTAACAATTTTAACCACGCACGCCTTCCTAAAGTGAGCAGTCATCGAGGTTTTTCACAGTTCTAATCAGTCAAACTAGCAAATACACCCTCATTTTTGTCACAAGGTCCGCCCTCCCTGCCACCTGAAGTACGAGCCTCAGGTTCGCTGCCTATGGCCCACGGCTCAGCTGGGGAGACGCGCAGCCCGACCCTGCTTCCTCTTCAGCACGGCCAACAATGGGGCCGGCCCGCGGTGGCCAACATGGCCGCACCCGCCACACTCACCGACTTCGAGTTCGGGCGGCAGCGGTGACTCCCTCTCGACCTCCAAGCCTCCCTCCCTTTCCAGGGAGAAACGATGCACCGATCAAACACTGCCCGCGAGCAAGTCACAGACCCCAGTTCCGTCTTCAACCAAGCTCCTTCTACCTTTTCCGACAAAATGGAGGCCGCTGCGAGCGCGGAAGAGGGCCGGCGCTTCCGCACCCAATAGGGACGCAGCTCCGCGCGTCGCAGCCAATGAGACGCCGGCCACCGCCTGTTGCTGGGGCAGGCCGGACTAAGTGCGGGCAGCCTGTTGTGGTGGTTTGAAATCCTGCGGGAGGAGCATGTCGGGAATAACTGCCCGGCCTTGGGAGGTGCGCTGCGGAGCCTCTCCCGTGGGCTGGCGGGTGTGTGCGGCTGGTCGCATAGCCAGGTTTTTTATGAGTAGAAAATACCCAGCTGCTTCGGTGGCCAGGCCCCTGCCCAGCTGCCCCGTCTTTGTTCCTGGTTCTCTCTGCCCTGCAGTCGTTTAGCGGCCCCCCAGGCTGCAATGGGTCGCGTCCTCCCCACCCAGAGTCCTGCAACCATCAAGCACACGACCCTCTTCTCTTCCTTCTGCGTTCCCCCTCTGATCTAATTTCGGGTTTTCTGCTGGACCTGAAACAGTCACCACCATCAGGGTCGGCTTTTTCTAAACACAGCGCTGGCTGGTCCCTTATTTTACATCTTTATTTTTTTACCTTGTTTAGTAAGTGGGGAAAACCGGGGAGGAAACAGATGCCGCTCAAGTATGACAGCAAGGCTCAGGGAAGAAAGAAGAGGGACATGTTTTGTTTTGTTTTTGAAAAAGAAAAGTCGTATGTATCCCAGGATCAATGGTTTTAAAGGTGAACACTAAATTCTATAAATAATTCTGAGGGTAAATGATCCAAAAATCTATCGATTTGTGCTGGGTGTCTTGGCTCATTCCTGTAATCCGAGTTTCTCAATTTCCAGATCAGTCCAGACTACACAGCAAAACTCTTGTCTGTCTCAACGAAACAAAAACATTTCATTGGCTCCAAATTGTGATGCGGTTGCCCCCAGAATTTTGCAGCCCTGTACACGTATATCATGTGTGCTTACTCTGCACCCCTCTTATACTAGACTTATACTTATTTCATTTCATCCTTACAGCAATTTTAAGGACAAGGTGCTGTTTGATACCCATTGTACCAGGGAAGTGTCTTAAGATTCAGAAAATCTCAGTGGGTACTATACTTCCGAGCTTGATGCTGCAGTGAGATTCTAGAGCCTAAATTCATGTACCGTAGAGTGTTTATTTCTTCCCTGTGCCTAAAAGGTGCTTGACCTAGAGGACACATAGATTGTTGCTGACATTGCCAGGGAGTTGGGTAGCATGAAGCCTGTGTCTTGCCATCTTGCGGAACTGCTCTCTCTCTTCAAGGTGGAAGTCAGACTATTTTTGCTATCTGTAGCTCATTCGTTAATAGCTACCAACAGCCACCAGAGTGCTGAACTGGGGACCGTGTGTGAAAAATACTGCCTCTTCAGAGCATCTGATCATCCTGTCTGCCTGTCTGATTCCTGTTTTATGTGTTTGTGTATATGGATGTCTGCATTCCATGCTTGCAGTGCCCTGGCATGCCAGAAGAGGGTGGCCGACCCTGGATAAGGGTTACGGATGAGGATGATCTGCCTTGTGGGCGCTCGGCCTCTGCAAAGGCCACGTGTGTGCTTAACCACTGAGCCATCTCTTTGGTCTCCATACCAACCTTTAAAAAAAATGCCTTTAATCCCAGCACTCGGGAGGCTGAGGCAGGCAGATCTCTGTGAGTTCAAGGCCAGCCTGGTCTACAAATGGAGTTCCAGGACAGCCAGGGCTGTTACGCAGAGAAACTCTGTCTCTAAAAACAAAAGAACAAAAATCAGTTCCACAAACACAATCCAGTCAGTCACTGGTTGTCAGTTCAAGTAGAAACATGTTAGCCAGGCCTGGTGGCACACACCTTTGATCCCAGGACAGCCAGGACTACACAGGGAAAGCCTGTCTGGAGGGGGTGGGCGGTAGGTTAGGAGCAAATTGCTAACAAAGGTGGCAGTGTTTTTATTTCTTTCTATTTTTTTTTTCGAGACAGGGTTTCTCTCTATTGTTTTGGAGCCTGTCCTGGATTTTATTTCTTTTTGAGACCAGGTCTAGACAGTTGTGAGTTGGATGCTGGGAATTGAACCCAGGTCCTCTAGAAGAGCAGCCAGTGCTCTTAACCCACTGAGCCATCTCTCCAGCCCCAAGGCTGGGTGTTTGATTTAAAATATTTATTTAGCCAGAATTTATCTAGCTGGGACCGTTGCCACACCTTAGGATTATAAAAGTAAATGAAGTCTTACCTATCCACAGAGAAACTCTTGGCTGGAAAAAAAAAAGTCAGTGCCAACTACAGACATAAACAACCTGCTGATGCTAGGGAATTAGAAGTTAACCTGCCACTGCTGAGGAGGCTCAGCCTGAAGGTTTTCCCACAGAAGAATATTTTTGTTGTTGTTGTTGTTTTTCCTTTTTTTCTTTCTTTCTTTTTTCTTTTTGATTTTTCGAGACAAGGTTTCTCTGTATTGTTTTGGAGGCTGTCCTGGAACTCACTCTGTAGACCAGGCTGGTCTCGAACTCACAGAGATCCGCCTGCCTCTGCCTTGCTTGTGCTGGGATTAAAGGTGTGCACCGCCGCGGCCGGCGAATGTTTTCATTATTAATCAGTAAAAGTGTGTGTAGGGATAGTACTAAGTGGTGAAGTGTTGCTGTGAAGTATGAGGACCTGAGTTCAGAACCTCTGGGCTCAGACAGAAGTTTGTAGCTACTGTGGGAGAGAAATAAATGATGATTCTGGGAACTCACGAGCTGCAGTCCAGCCAGTGGACCCCAAATTCAGTTCAAAAAATAAAGTGGAGGACTCAGACATGGGCATAACACCTTTAACTCCGGCACTTGGGGGGCAGAGGCAGGTGAATCTCTGAGTTCTGGGTTCTAAGCCAGGCGTAGTGAGAGCCTGTGTTGATTAAAAAAAGTGAGGCTGGCTCAATAGCTCAGGTGGTATAGCCCCTCCTGCCACACCGGATGAGCTGGGTTCTGGGCCCAGATGGTGAAGAGAGAGGACAGACTCCCACAAGTTGTCCTCTGACAGCTGCGGCATCCACACCCACACACAACAAATGAAGAAACAATGTAAGCAAAGAGTGCCACAAGCCATCCAGGGAGGTCAGCGTCTGACCTCAGCAGGCACTCTTGGGCCTGCACACACATCACACACACAGTTTTGTAAACATTCGCCACCCAATCTAAATGGCAGCAGAATGAAAAGAAAGTGTTTCTAAAAGAGGACAGGCCAAGTGGCTGCCGGGGTCTGTTGTTCTTAGACTCTGGAGGGCCAGGGGAATTGGCAAGGACACCCTGTGGGCCACACCTTTACAAGTCTCTAGTCTACTAATTGGCTTGTAGACAGGTTGCTTAAGGCTTGTGCTTACTTCTTTAAGTTTGTTTATAAATTCGGGGTCCGTTTGGATGTCTGCAGGCCGGCCAGCTGATGGCCTGCCTCAGTCTGTCAGAAAATCCATACCTGCCAAAACGGTAACGGAGAGCACCAGCCTGTGGGTCTTCGAGATTCAGGGCTCTCACATCGTTACCAAACTGGTACGAAAACCCTCACGCACACCGTGCATTTGTTTCCTGGGGAAGCATCTGGGGCTGGTTGCACAAGCTCACACATTCCGGAGAACTTACAAGTCTATTGTCAGCCACGCCAGTCATCTGATTCTAATTACCAAACAGAGCACCGGAAGTCCGTGGGAAACTCCCACGGCTCTCACGATGCTCAGGGAGGGGTTCAGCCTTCAAGACCTTAAAGAACACGGCTGCCTGAGCTACAGAATGCCACTGCACCTTCAGGGTCTTGGGGGATGGGCCCGTGAGTGTTCCAGTCCAGTGTTAGTTCAGTCACTGTTCTGAGTGATTCTTGCCAGTCCCTTGTCATGGAGTCCCTGTTTCCTATGCAGATCTCACCTACACAGGAGAGAACATTTTCTAAACATCCTGGGTTATGTAGCTTAGGTCTGTTGTAGAAGTGGGTTGTTTGAACAGGACCTGGTGCTCCTCAGGCTGGCCTCAAACTTGCTTTGCTGCTGAGAATGGCCTTGAACGACCTCGCTGCTTGCACTTCCCAAGGGCTGGGATTACAGGTGTACACCACCATCCCCAGCCTACTTTATTTTCACTTTTAAAAACACTATATTGGGGGCTGGAGAGATGGCTCAGAGGTCAAGAGCACTGACTGCTCTTCCAGAGGTCCTGAGTTCAATTCCCAGCAACCACATGGAGGCTCACAACCATCCATAATGAGATCTGATGCCCTCTTCTGGTGTGCAGACATACATAGAGGCAGGATGTTATATTCATAATAAATAAATAAATATAAAACTCACTATGTAAAAAATAAAATAAAATAAAACACTATATTGTGGAAATGCTTCCCTGTATATACAAACATGCATGCATGATTATTAGTGAAATTTTATGCTATGACCATATGTCATTAATTTTACAGTCATCCAGTGTTTATAGTTTTCTGCTATTTATGCTGACCTGGATTTCCTTATAAATTCTCACCTCCTTAAATAAATTTCCCTAGCCGGGCGTTGGTGGCGCACACCTTTAATCCCAGCACTCGGGAGGCAGAGGCAGGCGGATCTCTGTGAGTTCGAGGCCAGCCTGGTCTACAGAGCGAGTTCCAGGACAGCCTCCAAAACAATACAGAGAAACCCTGTCTCTAAAAACCAAAAATAAATAAATAAATAAATAAATAAATAAATAAATTTCCCTTAAATTTCCAGCTATGAAAATATCATGTAGTCGGGCGATGGTGACGCACACCTTTAATCCCAGCGCTCCGGAGGCAGAGGCAGTCGGATCTCTGTGAGTTCAAGACCAGCCTGATCTACAAAAACTAGTTCCAGGACAGCCTCCAAAGTCACAGAGAAACCCTGTCTCAGAAAAGAAAAGAGAAGAAAAGAAAAGAAAAGATCTCGTCATGAGGTTAACATATAGGTTTAAGTCCTGGCTACTTTTTTGTCAACTTGATGCAAGCCAGGGTTGTCTAGGAAGAGGGAACCATAACCAAGAAAATGCCTCCATCAGAGTTGTCTGTAAGCAAGTCTGTTGGGCATTTTCTCAATAATTTCGATGGGAAGGCCCAGCCTAATTTGGGCAGTTCCATCCCTGGACAGGTGATCCTGGGTTGTATGGAAAAACAAGCTGATAGTTCCAGGACAGCCTCCAAAGCCACAGAGAAACTCTGTCTTGAAAAACCAAAAAAAGGGCTGGAGAGATGGCTCAGCAGTTAAGAGCACTGACTGCTCTTCCAGAGGTCCTGAGTTCAATTCTCAGCAACCATATGTTGGCTCACAACCATCTATAATGAGATCTTTTAAAAAAATCTTTAAGCCAGGCATTGGTGGCACATGCCTTTAATCCCAGCATTTGGGAGGCAGAGGCAGGCGGATCTCTGTGAGTTGAGACCAGCCTGGTCTACCGAGCAAGTTCCAGGACAGGACAGATTCCAAAACAATACAGAGAAACCCTGTCTCGAAGAAGAAAAAGAAAGAAAGAAAGGAAGAAAGAAAGAAAAACCAAAAAAAAAAAGAAAAGAAAAGAAAAACAGACTGAGCTGGGTGGTAGTGGCGCATGCCTTTAATCCCAGCACTTAGGAGACAGAGACAGGCAGATATCTGTGAGTTCAAGGCCAGCCTGGTCTACAGAGAGAGTTCCAGGACAGCTAAGGCTACCCAGAGAAACTCTACCTGGAAATACCAAAAAAGAAAAATTCTGTACTCCAGTCCCAGCCCTGGAGGCACTCTTTTTGTTAGTGATGGCTGCTCTTCTGACTTTGGGTCTGAAAGAAGAGCTGGTGAAATAATTGAAAGAGTTTTTAAAGGTGTTTTTAAGGTCACATACTATATATGGCCTCTTATACAACATGCCCTATGGGGCAGCTCTTAGTTCCACAGAACATGGAACTAATAAGGTCTCTTGATTCACTGAAATCAACATCTTCCTGGCTGCCAACTTGTCAGCTGATAAGCTACAAACATCTGGAATTTTCCATGGATTAAAGCAGGCCAATGTTTTCTGTCTGGCTTCTGGCTCTGGTTCAGGAAGAGACTTTGAAAATCAAGATCCTGTGGACAAAAGAGCCCATATTTTACTACAGGAAAAAAATTAAATTTCCATTGTTTTCATAGATGATTAAAACAGCTTGACCTGGTTGACAGATAATGAAGCTTCCACTCTTGGCAACAGTAGGCAATGAGGGAGCCCACAGCTCCTCTTGTTCAAGGAAGTGAACTGACCTGCCAGGGACCATGCCACCCTCACCTCTCCTTGGGGGACCACCCCCCAAATGCTCCAGGCTGCCCTGAACTCACGACTCTCCTGTTTCAGGGTCCAGCTGTGGTCTGGGGACCCCAGTGCATTGAGCTTGGACTTTGCAATCATCTCTCCACCCTTGTCTGCTTTGTTGTCTTAGTTTTGTTGAAGGTGTCACGTGATATTCATGAGCATCGTCTTTTGCATACTCCAAACACACTGTTCTAAGCTGGGAACATACAACTCAGTGGTATATTTCTGGCCTAACATGCACAGGGCTCTAAGTTCAAACTCAGCACTACCCAAAAAACAAATATACTTCCTGGACAATAACAGTGAGTGCTGAGCTCTTTACTATGAGCAAGACTCTGTGCTAAAATATACTCCCCACTCCCACCCCCCCCAGACAGGGTTTCTCTGTGGAGCCCTGGCTGTCTTGGAACTCTCTCTGAAGACCAGGCTGGCCTCGAACTCAGAGATCCATCTGCTTCTGCCTCCTCAGTTGGGATTAAAGGTGTATAACACCACCACCCGGTGTTCAGGTTTTTTTTTTTTTAATGGGATTTTATTGGTGGTATTCAAGGCTGGAGAGGTCTCAAATATGAGAGAGTAAATGAAAGCATCCTGTCATTTTAATTGTAATCCAGGCTCTTTTCAGACACATTAAGGGAAAACATTAGGAAGATTACCACGAAGGAGGGAAGCTTCTGCTAGAGGCCACCGAAGCTAGCTAATGACACTCTTAGCTTTTCTGTTGGTTGTTTGTACATTCCAAAAGATTTGCCTACTGGTCACAAAGCTGTTAGGTCAGGTAGAGAGGAGGTCAAGAAATGCCTATCGTGAGGGCTAAAGAGAGCCAAAAGTAATTTGGCTCTGACATTCCAACCTCTCCACAATTTTGATTCAGTTTGTTTATTGTCTTTTGAGACAGGATCGAATGTGACCCAGGCTTGTCTTGAACTCTAGATGAGGCAAAGAATGACTCTGGCCTTCACCTCACATATGTAGGGACTACCAGTGTAGGCTGCCAAATCCTGCTTTTTCATTTTTCTTTCTTTTTTTTCTTTTTTTTTTTTTTTTTTTTTTTTTGGTGACAGAATGACAGAGCCCCATTGGAACCCAGGCTGACCTACAACTCACTATGTATCCCAGGCTTAGGCAATTTTCCCACCTCAGCCTTGGGCATAACTCAGAACAATCCCCTTCCTTCTTCCCTTTCAAGCTGAACTCTGTAAGAACCCTAGGCTGGGTCCGGTGTTGCACACCGGGGATCCTAACACTAGAGTCAGAGGTAGGAAGACGGTGAGATCAAGTTCAACTCTCAATACATAGCAGGACCCTGTCCCAAAAAGCAAAACAAAAGCACCTGGAGTGGTGATGCAAACCTTTGATCCCTGTATTTGGGTCACAGGAGCAGGAAGATGAGCCATCCTCAGCTATTGTGGAATATTAGCTTAAGATGTGTTACATTCGGAGCCGGGCGTTGGTGGCGCATGCCTTTAATCCCAGCACTCGGGAGGCAGAGGCAGGCGGATCTCTGTGAGTTCGAGGCCAGCCTGGTCTACAGAGCGAGTTCCAGGACAGCCTCCAAAACAATACAGAGAAACTCTGTCTCAGAAAAAAAAAAAAAAAGAAAAGAAAAGCTGGCTAGAAACAAGCTAAGGTAGGGCATTCATAAGTAAGAATAAGTCTCTGTGTATTTATTTGAAAACTAGGCAGCAGGCCCCCAGTGAGTAAAAAAACAACAAAACAAAAACAAAAACCAAACAACACTCAGCTTCATAATCAGCTTTGAGACCAGCCTGGGACATGTGAGAAAAAATGGAAGAAAGGAGGAAGAAAAAGCCCCAAGGAGTTGGTAGAGTGATTGTTTAGCAAGCACAAAGCCTGCGTTCCGTCCTCAGCTCTTCCTGGTGGCGCATGCTTTTAATCCCATTTGGGTTCGAGATCACGACCATCCAGGTGGTGGTGGTGCTCGCCTTTAATCCCAGCACTCGGGAGGCAGAGGCAGTTGGATCATGACCAGAAAAGATGGTTCAGTGGGTAAAGGCATCACAGCCTGAGTTTGATCCTGAGGACCCACGTGGTGAAAAGGGAAAAACAACGCTCATAAGTTGTCCCGTGACTTTTACGCAGTTGCTTTGGGGTGCTCACACTCACAGGCACATTTATCCTCGACCATATAGTAAGACCAGTCTGGGCAACATGCCAGCCTCAACATGGGAAAGAAAGGAAAATAAAATAAATAAATCAACAACACAACAGCATCAGTTCAAAAAGCAAAAGCAAAACAAAAAACAGCGCACTGTATTCTCTGTGCAGGATGGCTGCCTCCACATCTGAGAGCTGGAAATGTTGCTCTTGCTCCCTGTTCTCATTTAGGACTCAGTTCTGTGATATGCAAAGCCTCAGCTGACTGCTGGGAGCAGGAGAGTCTCTCTCTCTCTCTCTCTCTCTCTCTCTCTCTCTCTCTCTCTCTCTCTCTCTCTCTCTCTCTCTCTCCCTCCCTCCCTCCCTCCCTCTCTCTCTCTCTCTCTCTCCCTCTCCCTCTGATGTTGCACTAGACCAATAAATTTGAGAAATGCTCTTTAGATTAGGTGCACCAATGAGCAGGAACACAGTAAATAGTCCCCCTTCCTTAGGTCCCCAGGCTTGTGGGTATTTTCCTGATGGACACTCATAGGCAGCTGCCTCAGAACATCACCATCTCACTCAAACTCCCCCGAGTTTCTGGGTCAGGTCACACGCAAAAGACAAGTTTCTACAGAGTCTCTAGTCCTGAGGGATTTCGGCTTTCAAGTGGCCCCACCTCTCCGTGCCCTCCCCAGCAGATTGTGACTCTCAAGAATGGGGCTGGGAGTGGCTGCCAGAGTCCTGAGAAACTCTCCTTCCTTCGTGACCACCCTGGCAAACTCTCTGGAAAGAAAATATCGGGTTAGGTTTAAAGTCCAAAATAGGAAGCTTGCATTAGAAGCACTCTGGAACATAGGGGATTTTAAAATGTATTTTTAAGGGTGTTCTATATTTATCTTGTGTTCATTAATGAGTGGGGATAATTGGCTCAATGCTTCAGCCTAAGTGGGGAGGTATCCACTTAAATGTTTCTCCTGGGTCCCATTTCAGCCCCTGACATTGAATTAGATGTTGTACAGGTTACAGAGAAGGGTTAAGACAGGGGCCTGATCTGTGAGGTAGCACAGCAGATAAAAGTGCTCGTCACCAAGCCTGACGTTCAAGCTCTGGGACCCTCATGGTGGGAGGAGAGAACTGACTCTCAAGGTGTTTTTTGACTCCCACCAGAGTGCCATGGCATGGTCAGTGGTGGAGTACACTTTTAATCGCAGCATGCAGGAGGCAGAGGAAGGTAGATCTCTGTGAGTTTGAGGCCAGCCTGGTCTACAGAGTGAGTTCCAGGACAGCTAGCACCACACAGAGAAACTCCGTATTGGAAAACAAAACAAAAACAAACAAAAGAGCTCAAGACAGCTGGATATGGTGGTGTACCCCCATAATCCCAGCACTCAGGAGACTGAGGCAGGAGAATTGCCGAAAATCCCAGGCTACACTACATGGCAACAACCAAGCCAGCTAGAGCAATATAGCAAAACATTTACATTCATTTTACCTTATCTGTGTGTGTGTGTGTGTGTGTGTGTGTGTGTGTGTGTGTGTGTGTGTGTGCGGCACACATATGTGCCGCACACATGCTCATGCACCTGAAGGCACCCACCAAGGCCAGAATATGGTATCAGAGCCCCTAAAACTACAGTTATAGGTGGGTGGGAGCTGCCTGGTTTGGGTGCTGGGAACTGAACCACAACAAGAGCAGAAAACACTTTAAAAAGACATTTCTTTGTTTAATTTATGTGAGAATATTTGGTCTGCATGTATAGTATTTGTACCACATGCATGGGTGATGCCCACAGAGGTCAGAAGAGAGCATCATAGACCTCAAAATGGGAGTTACTGATGGTTGTGAGCCTCCCACAATTAGTAATAATAATATGAAAAAAAACAAAACAAAAACAAAATAATTTTAAACAATAGTGAAAATGAAATCTGAAAAACTACAAAAAACAAAAGATAAAATTATTTGTGACACATTATTTGTTTTGCTTTGGTTTGGTTTGATTTTTCAAGACAACAACTTTGGCCATCTGTGTCCCCCTTGTGTTTACACCTCTCTATGCTGTTTGCTTCTTGTTGTCTTCTTTGCATTGAAAGATCTATTGTTGGTGTGTGAGTGTGTGTTTTCCTAGCGATCAGAGGACAATTGGTGGAGTCTGGTCTCCCCTTCCACACCTCTTGGGGCCTAGCACAGCTCAGACACAGCCAGCAGGTGGCAGCATCTCACAGGACGAGAACTGGAAAGGCTGGGTCTGAGTCCCTAACCTGTGACTGACAGGAAGGAGAGCGGCCCCTGTCAATCTGGACAGGAGACAAAGGGGAGAACCTGGGATGCCCTTACTGACCACGTGGGCCTGAATGGGTTCAAGGCCAGCAACAGCCCCTCACTTAGAAGCTGACTAGATATGTAGATCCCTGTTCCCATCCCCCTACCCCCAGCCAGAAGACGGATTAATAATAGTCTGTGGATGAGCCAGGCTGTGGTGGTGCACACCTTTAATCCCAGCACTGGGAGGCAGAGGCAGGTGGATCTCTGTGAGTTCGAGACCAGCCTGGTCTACAAGAGCTAGTTCCAGGACAGCCTCCAAAGCCGCAGAGAAACCCTGTCTCGAAAAACAAAAAATCAAGCAAACAAAAAAAGTAGTCTGTGGATGGTTTGATAGGTCAGGGGTGAGTCAGGGGTGTGGAAGTTTTAGCAGTACCTTTTCTCTCCAACTTCCGCATTCTTGGAATGGGGAAATTTAGACCAGATGAAGGAAGTAACTTGCCACACAGAAGCTAACTCAGGGGTGTTGGAGGTGGAGGGGGAGGGCAGCTGGGGAGATGACTCAGCAGTTGAGAGAGCTTGCTGCTCTTCCAAAGGACCTGAGTTCAGTTCCTAGCACCCACATGGCAGCACACAACCACCTGTAACTCCTTCTGGCCTCCTCAAGTACTGCGTGCCACAACACACACACACACACACACACACACACACACACGGGTATCAATAATAAGATAAATCTTTTTAAAAAGAAAAAGAGCTGGGCATTGGTGGCGCACGCCTTTAATCCCAGCACTCGGGAGGCAGAGGCAGATGGATCTCTGGGAGTTCAAGGCCAGTCTGGTCTACAGAGTGAGTTTCAGGAGAGGCTCCAAAGCTACACAGAGAAACCCTGTCTTGAAAAAAAAGAAAGAAAGAAGGAAAGGAAGGAAGAAGGAAAGAAAGGAAGAAAAAGAAAAGAGAAAGAAAGAAAAAGAGAACTCAACTCTGAGTATCCCTCCTCCCTAGTTCCGACTTTGCTTCCTTGCTTTTTTTTTTAAAGGTTTATACTACTACACCCAGCTACACTTTTTTAAAAAAAGTTTTATTATGAATACAACAACTTGCCTCCATGTCTGTCTGCACACCAGAAGAGGGCACCAGATCTCATTACAGATGGCTGTCAACCACTATGTGGTTGCTGGGAATTGAACTTAAGACCTCTGGAAGAGCAGTCAGTGCTCTTTTTTTTTTTTTTTTTTTTTTTGGTTTTCCGAGACAGGGTTTCTCTGTATTGTTTTGGAAGCTGTCCTGGAACTCACTCTGTAGACCAGGCTGGCCTCGAACTCACAGAGATACACCTGCTTTTGCTTCCCGAGTGCTGGGATTAAAGGCATGGGCCAGTCAGTCAGTGCTCTTAACCTCTAAGCCATCTCTCCAACCCCGCTTCCTTACCTTTTAATTCCTTCACTCACTGGTACGCATTTAGCCACCTCTCACACCCTGAGCTGCAGTAGACAAGCAAGGTGTTGGCCAGCAGGTCCGTCTTTACCATGGGGCTTCCACAAGGCCAGGTGTCTAGAAGTCACTAGTTAGATCTTTCCCAGTTCTCCCCTGGTGTCTGTAGTTGCTTCTGTGGTGTTGCAGAGGTCGAACACAGGCTGCGGGGAGGGGGGGAGGTGGTCATACCTCTGCTTTTCTTTTGAAGGGCCTGAACTCTCCCACCCATTCCTCGATGTCAATTTCCTGTTCTTGGAAGAGCTGAAGCCACCATCCTGCCCTTTCCCAAATGGTCTCAGCCCCTCCCTGCACATCAGATCCCACTCAAGTCGGGTCCTCTGCCTCCTGCATTCCAGGCCTCTACTACGAGGTGTCAGTAGAATCCCCCAGCCAGGTGTGCCAACCAAAAATGCACACACACACACACACACACACACACACACACACACACACCACCACCACCACCACCACCACCACCACCCGGGACTGTCCCACAAATCACCTAAGTGACATTAGTTAACTCTCCACTTTAAATAAAAACAGTTTCTTCCAGGCCTGGAGATGGAACCTAGGGCCCTTGCCTGCTAGGCAAGTACTCTCCCATGAGCTACATCCTTGGCTCTGAGTAACTATTAGCACATGATCGTCTCAAACACTTCGTCATATTCTCATACTCTGAAGAAGCCCTGGCCCAGACCATCCCTCCTATTGAGATGACCTCTTGTGGTGATCATAGACCAGAATAGAATGTTACCACACTTAATTCTGTAGCTGTAGAGCATAGAAGATTATAGTAAAACATTTTATCTGATGACAGCTGTAACAATGTATCCGGTACAATACCTGAGTGTCTTCCAGAACTGGACATTAGAAACACACTTCTTGGGGCTGGGTTAAGATCAATCTGTGGAGTGCGTATTCTGCAAACATGAGGACCTGAGGTCAATGCCTGGAGCCCACATTTAAAGGGGGGAAGGTGATGCAAAGTCGACTTAGCAGTTAAGAGCAATGGCTGCCGTTCCAGAGGGCTCAGGTTCAATTCTCGACATCCACATGGCTGCTTGCAATTGGCTGTAACTCCAGTCCCAGCAGATGCGGAAGCCCTCTTCTGATCTTTGAGGTCACCAGGCACACGTGATGCACATACATACATGTGGGCAAAACAGGCATACACATTAAAAATGAATAGTAAAATAAAATAAAGCCAGGTATGGCCGGGCCTTGGTGGCGCACACCTTTAATCCCAGCACTCGGGAGGCAGAGGCAGGCGGATCTCTGTGAGTTCGAGGCCAGCCTGGACTACCAAGCGAGTTCCAGGACAGCCTCCAAAGCCAAAGCCACAGAGAAACCCTGCCTCAAAAAACCAAAAAAAAAAAAAAAAAAAAAAAAAAAAGATAGACATCCTTCCCTGGTGGTCATCAAGGACTTGGACTTGAAAATATTTCCCAGACCTCAGTCCTCAAGGACTTGGGATCATTCCCCAGACCTCAAGGTTCTAGGCGGGTCACAAAGTTCAGCCAGGGGACAGACGTTGCCTGAGACAGATAACAAGCCAGTCAGCCAGACAGCCACAAGCGTCCATGTTTGCATGAAGGTCTGGCACCAATTTCCAAACTCCCCTTGTACCCCCACCACCCTGTTTGCAGTTTTAAGCTTTAAAAACTCGCTGTAATTTCTGCTCAGGGTTCACTCCTTCCTAAAGTTGCTGAACCTCAGCGCGCTGGCTTATTAAAAATCCTCTTGCGTTTTGCAACGAACTTCAGCTCCCTGGTGGTCTTTGGGGCGAGGGTCCTAAAAGAAAGACAAAAAGGTCTTTCACTGGGACTAAAGGTGTGCGCCACCACGCCCAGCTTCGTAACTTGCTTTTGATCATGGTATGTGTCACAGCCACAGAATGAAACCAGAACAAGCGCCCACCTTTCATTCATGTACTCTGCCAACACCTGCAGGCATTTGCATTTCAAAGCTCTGGGCAAGTGTGGGGGAGGTACAGGAGACACATGTGTAACCTGGCGTGTCGTCACAAAGAAGCTAAACTTTACAGAATTCAAGCGACTTGCTGGACATCACTCGCCTAGGCTGGATTGGAGCCCAAGACTCTGGAATTTAGGGTCCAGGTCTATGTCCTATTCTGGCCAGAGTTCCTAAGAAGAGAGAACTCAACGGCAGGGCAAGAACACTGTGACACTGGGGACCCAGAAGGGAAGTGGTAACAGGGACGGAAGGCCAGACCTCCTCACACTTATTTACGAAAGGGCAAAACCAAGAGAAACCAGCAGGAGCTGTCTGTCGCTCTAGTGGAGAACCCAGGCTGAGCCTGCAGATCTGAACACAAAATAGCCAGGAAGGCTCTACAAGCTCCTGGGGCCCAGCTGCTGACAAACAACCGTGAGTAGTTTGCTCTGTGTCCCGTGTCCCCCCCCCCAGACTCCTCATTCCAGAAGGCCTGTGTTCTTCTAACCTCAGCCTTTCTCTCTAGAGCTAGGGGGAGCACTGTCTGAGGCACTGGAATGGATGTCAGACCAGGAACATGAGTCACAGCAATTGATGCTCAGGGCTATTCTACCTGAGACAGAACTTTTTGCTTGCCACTCACCACAGAAATAAAACCCAACTACTTAGGTGACTTTTCTTGAGGAGTTTTTCTATTCACCCAGAAACAGAAAGCCACACTAGACCTTTTCCTTTCAGTCCAACTTAGTGAACTGATGAGTTTGTCTATAGGAAAATGGGTGACTTGGGCAACTGTGTCATCAAAAAGTTCACCCCAGCGTGGTGACAAGTGCTCAAAGCTAGTGAGTGACATCATTGGTGTCCGCATCTATAGCTGAATTTTCACCTCCTGTCTGGCATCTCCCAAGACCACAAGTTGGATGACTTTCAGGGGTGGGGCAGGAGCGAGGGAGTATCTGGAATCTCAGGTGAGGGTCTAATGACTGCCACATAAGGGGGTTGGTAGCAGGCCTGATCTTTAGCAGACCTTTAGATAACCACAGCTGTAAAGGGCCACACGTGCCCAGAAAACAGAATTCCATAGCACGCACAGATCTTCTCTACGGGCTGGTCTCTGTCTAAGGGCTTTCCAAGATACTGACGACTCAGATACTCAGTGTCTGTGGTAAATTATGCTACCATATCTCCTGTTTGGCAGAGGGAGGCTGTGTACCACTCTTCTGATGTCCCAGGGGCATTACTTGAGAACACAGGCTTGAAAGCAAACATTTTGGCTTCCTAGCCTACTCTTTAACTACCATAGCAGATGGGGAAATTTGAAAAGGGCCCCAGGGGACTAAGACCTTAGGGTTCACCTGGACAATCCAGAGCCTTGTTTTATAGAAGGAAAACAGCAACAACAACAAACAAATGAGCTGCAGTGAGGTGATTGACTGTCAGAGAGGGTGAAAGGCACTGGACCCAGGAGGCCAGGGCTCCGCTTCCATGGAGGTCACACTTACTGGGAGAAAAGAGATGCTGACTGGGAGCCCTGAGGTGGAGACCTCTGTGGAATCCTAACTCAACGTTCTAGACAACTCCGCTTCTCTGCCCCTCGGCTTTTTCTTCTGGACCGTGCAGTTCCAAGAGTGCCACCCTCAGCCCTGTGGTAAGGGCTCAGACAGGTGACACCACCTGGGGACACACAACTGCACTGAGCGAATGACAGCTTGCCCTTGCCCACTCTCCCCATGCTGTGGGTTAGAAATGAGATACCGGGCAGCGGTATCGCACGCCTTTAATCCCAACACTCAGGAGGCAGAGGCAGGCGGATCTCTGTGAGTTTGAGGCCAGCCTGGGCTACAGAGAAAGCCAAAAAAAAAAAAAAAAAAAAAAAGAAAAGAAAAGAAATGAGAAAAGGAAGCCACCAGCTCCTTCCCTGGAACAGGAATTTGCCTCAAGGGAGATGCGTTGTGGTCATGAAAGCCAGGACTGGGCAGAAGAAGGTCTGATGTCAGATTCAGGAAGTCTGAGGGTGCCCCAGTTGTCCGGCCGCTATGGCTCAAGAGAGCTTGCTTCCTAACTGCAGGGGCCGTGTGGCTCTCTGCCAGCGAGGTCATTCTTCCCTGCTTTCCTCCGTTAAACTGGCAAGATGGCCACCTCCTCATCTTACTGCCCCGTCTTTGTTCATGTGGCACGCGCCTGTGCAGGTGTGCCTGAGGAAGCTAGGGAGGCTGATGTCGGGTGTTTCCGTCTGTTGAGCTCCACATTATTTTTTTTTGAGATCATTTCTCACTGGATCTGGAACTCACTGGTTCAGCTAGTCTGATTGGCCGGTGAGACCTAGGGATCCTCCTGTCTGCTCCTCACCGTGCTGGGATTAAAGGCACGCACTGCTGAATCAGGTGTTTCTTGTGGGCTCTGGGGACTCCAAGGAAAGCCCTGATGCTTGCACAGCAAACTTTTTTTTTTTTTTTTTTTTTTGGTTTTTCGACACAGGGTTTCTCTGTATTGTTTTGAAGCCTGACCTGGAACTAGCTCTTGTAGACCAGACTGGCCTCGAACTCACAGAGATCTGCCTGCCTCTGCCTCCCAAGTGCTGGGATTAAAGGCATGCGCCACCAACTCCAGGCCCGCACAGCAAACCTTTTAAAGCCGAGTGAGCTGTGTCCTCAACCCTTCTACTCACGATACTCTTACTTCATGTTCTCAGGGTGCCTGAACCTTGCATTTATTCTGATGGAATTACATGCAATAGGATTCTGCGCCTCATCCTGCTAATCCAGGGGGAATTGGCCCACAAACCACATACAGACCTTCATTGAAGCTCTAGCTCCAACCAAAGATGCCTGTTGCCCTAATCCTGGCGATTCCCTGCTAGGTCCTGGTTTACCATGTCCCTGGAATAGCTGGAGTCCCAGTTTCTTTGTCAAGACTTAAAACATTGTCCTTACGTTTGACCTTCAGGGTTAACTACCCAAAACTCCCCTGGAGCCCCTCCCCCAAACTCTCCAGGGATCAGATCCTAGCTCCCTGGCATCACCCGCCCCCTTTTTTATTTAATTTGTTTTTTTGAGACAGGGTTTCTCTGTGTAGCTGACTCTGTAGAACTCTGTAGAACTCACAGAGATCCACCAGCCTCTGCCTCCCGAGTACTGGGATTAAAGGCTTTAGGCACTGCCGCAGGGCCTGTGATATCTTTCTCGTCCAAGAGCTAAGCAGCCATTCTCCATGGCTATCAGAAGCTCTTTGCTCCTGCCCACCTGGGCGCTGGCTCCCTCTCCCTGAGCAAGAGAGCAGGATTCTCACAAAGGACTAGGAGGGCTGTCTTCCAGCTGCTTCTACCCCAGAAGGCTGTCTGCAAAGAGCAGTATCTTACAGATAAGGAGAGCAAGGCTCAGCAGCAGAGCAGACTTGCACAACATCACATGGTCAAGGCAGTGGGGAGCCGGCGGGAGTGGAAGCCACCCTCCCCTGACTAGCCAAGTGACACTGAGTAATTAGCATCACCTCCTGAACCTCTGTGCTTTCAATGCTGCCCGCGGGTTCCCAGTCTGCCACACACACACATGTCTGTTGCTGTCTTAAATCCATCAATGGCCATTCAGGGACCTCCCCTGGTGTGGTCTTTACACTGACTCCTGACTCGTGGTCATTCACACTTGTAAGGTGCAAAGCCCACCCAGATTTAAAAACTATCCAAGGTGGTGGGCGGAGCTATTGCTCAAGCCAAGACCTCATAGGTTCTAGACCCAGAGACACTTGCATCAGGAGTGGTGGCACAGACCTGTGATCCCAGCACTCAGGAGGGGAGGGCGAGAAGTCCAGAAGTTTAAGATCATCTTGACTTGCATAGAGAGTTCAAGGCCAGTCAGGGCTGTGTGTGAAAGAAGCTATCTCAATTAAAGCAGCCAGGCCAGGCTTAGCCAAGCCCTACTCTGTTGTGAAAATAAACAGGTGGGCAGGGAAGAGAATCCCTCAGAGGTGTGGAGGTGCAGTTCAGGTCACCACGGTCACAGATCTGTCATTTGCCCAGCATGTTTCAGATGCCACATACATGCAGCCTGAGAGCCTGACTATGGGGAGAGAGAGAGGAGCATACTGTGTGTATGACCCTGAGGCTCCAACCACAAACCCAGGGGATTCCTCGTCCCCCCCCTCCCCACGGGACTTCCCTCCCCATGCTGGTGGCTGTCACTGGCAATGTCTTATGCCATCACACCCTGATCCTATGAGGACATTTTTTTTTCCTGTCCCAAAATAGAAATGAGAGAGCTGGGGGTCTAGAGAATGGCAGCTTTGCCAAGGCCAAAATGAAAACCCAGCAAAGTCAGGGCACTTGACCATGGCTTCTACGTCTGGAAGCCCTTCTCCCAGCACAACCCAAAAGAGAAAGAAACTGGCCTTTCTTCCATCTCCTACGGGGAGGAAAGGCCCAGAAAGCATGCCTCCCCCAAGTGGTAAAGTCCCCAAATCCTAACGAGGACAGACGAGTTAGGCTGGCGCTGTCTGTAGAAGAGGGCGGGGCCACAGTGGAGTTAGCTCCGCCCTCTGGGGGCTGTTGGGGGTCCCGTGAGGAGAGGGGTTGGTGGGACCTCTCTCAAAAGTGACTTTATAGTTTGGGTATCCTCTAAGTTTTGTGGCTTCTTCTCTCCCCTCCTTCCCTACAACCTCCTCCCATTGCCCAACGGGCGGCCTTGAACCTGTGGCACCTAGAGTCTCCCACTCAAACCACTGCTGCCCTGCCACGGTGATTCCCAGGGCTCCCTAGGGGTTGGGGCCCACCTCGGTTCCTCTTTGAGAAACACAGGTGCATTCACGGTGGTGCTTCTGTACGGATACAGCGAGTCCTTCCTGTCTGTCTCCCCGGGGCATGTGTTTGGGTACTGGGTGGTCCAATGGCACCACAGGCAGAGGTTGGGGACCTATGGAGAACAATACATGTTTCTGGAAAGCAATTCAACAGATCTGGAAGATGCTTTGAGATGTAAGATTGCAATTACTAGGGGCTTATGACAGAGGTGTGGTTTGGACAGAAGTTAGTCAGGAGCATCCCACATCCCAAAAGCAAGAAGGGGTTTGTACACTAAGCTAGACAAAGGTGGAGAACAACCAACCAGAAAATATTTGGCCTTTCTAAAAAACTAAGAGCATGTCAGAGATCAGTTAAGGGACAGTCTGGGTGTCAGTGACCAGAGTGACAGAATAAATATTTGACTGTTTGGGTTTGTGCCATACTGTATAGCTCAGGCCAACCTAGAATTCAAGGTCCTCTCTTCTCCATCTTCCAAGTGCTGGAATTACAGGTGTGCCACAACCCTCGGCTTTGACAAACTTCTTTTTTTTTAATATTGATTATGAGGGCTGGAATGATAGCTGCTCTTCTAGAGGACCTGACTTCAATTCCCAGCACTGTACCCACATGGCATTTCAGTCTGTAACTCCAGCCCTAGGGAATCCGATGCCCTCTCCGGCTTTTGTGTGTACCAGGCATGCACTTGATGCACAGACAAGTTTGCAGGCAGAACACCCATGCATGTAAAATAAATACAATTTCAATAAAAACAAAACATTCTCTTTTTAATTAATTATTATTCTCCACTTAATTAAGGGGGTATATGTGCACAGGAGTGCAAGTGCCCCCAGAGGATAGAAACTTCAGGCAGATCCCTGGGAGCTAGAGTTTTTGGCAGGTGTGAGCCTGCCAACATGGGTAAGGGGACCTTGGGTCCTCTGCAAGAGCAGCAAGAACTCTTAACACATGAGCAGTCTCTCCAACCCTCAATTTTTTTAATGAATAAATTAGGGGCTTCCTGGATGGCTCAGTGAGCAAGGTACTTGCCCTTGCCACGAGATGAGGTCATGAGTTTGGATCCCCAGAACTCACAGAACTGCCAAGCGTGGTGCCTCACAACTGTAACACCAACGTTAGGCTTCAGCAGCTCACTTGCCGGCCAGTCTCCGAAACTTCCAGCATCGGGTTCACTGAAGATGGCGAGTGATAGCGAAAGACACCTGATGTCAGCCTCGGGCCTACACACATGTATACATATATGTTTATACAACACACAAAGAGAATGAAAAAATAAAATAAAGCTATAAATTCACTTGGGGGGGGCTTGTTTGGGAAGACAAGGTTTCCCTATATAGTCTAGTCTGACCTTGAACTCACTGTGTAACCCAGGCTAGCCCTAAATTCAGGGCCCTACTGACTCAGTCTTCCCAGTGTTGGGATTAAAGGCATGTGCCACCACTGCCTGGCAATATGTATTGACTTTCTAAGTACCAAATCACGAGAAACATGGACCCTCATTTCATAATGATAACACTGGAGACTCAGAACAGTGAAATCGGGTGGTCTGCTTTATAACCTTGTACGACCTTACAAAGCCAGGCATCAGCTTGGCTTGCCCACTGAATGTAAGGAGCGGCTTCCAGCCTTGCTGCAAGCCCCGCCTTCCTCGCCTTCCTGTCCTAGTTTTAGGTCTCACCATCCATTCACTCTGCTATGTACACTCCTCTTTTTCTCACCAAAACCTTTCGTGGGTTCATCTGCACGTTTTACATGTTTGCTGGTTTGTTGCTTTAAAGTAGATTTGTTTGTCTTATGTGTATCAGTGTGTTGTCTGCATGTATGTGTGTGTACCATGTGCATGCCAGGTGTCTGCAAAAGTCAGAAGAGGGAGTCCAGTTCCCTGGAACTGAAGTTATGAATGGTTGTGAGCCACCATGGTGGTGCTCACAAGGAACCAAACCAGGTCCTCTGGAAGAGCAGCCATTGTTCTTAACCAATGCACGGTCTCTCCAGCTCCCTTTTAAAAATTTTCTTAATAATGTGGGCATGTCTACGCATTCCAGTGCAGGTACCCAAGGAGGCTAGAGATCCCCTGAAACTAGCTGGATAGAGTGGCAGGCAGGCGTAGGCTGCCTAGTGTAGTCTGTTGCAAGAGCAGGTACTTAACTGCTGAGTCTAGAGTTCCCATCATGTTTAATCGGAGCTTATCAGGCACATGACCTTGCTGTAGGCAAGTTTGGCTCTTAGTAATTTCCTACTCCAAATTTTAAAATAACCAGACTAAACCAGGCCGTGGTGGCACATGCCTTTAATTCCAGCACTCAAGAAGCAGAGATAGGTGGATCCCTGTGAGTTCAATCCCAGCCTGGTCTACAGAGTTCCAGTACAGTCAGGAGTACACAGGTAAAGAAAAAATAAATAAAAAACAAACAAACAAAATCATCCTCCAGATGTTCAGCCCATCTCTCCAACACAGGACTGTCTGTACCAGGTTTAATTCATCCGTCAGCTTCTGTCCAGATGTTCCTGGATCCCTGCCAACCGCTTTGTCACTACTACCAGATCCTAGCAGCCCAGAGCCCATGGGTGAGTTTTCCTAGCAAGATTTGATGCATTTGACAGCACTACCATCACCATCACCATCACCATCAACATCACCACCAGCATCCCCATTATCATCACCCTCATCACCACCACCATCATCACCACCACCACCATAAACATCACCACCACCATAAACATCACCACCATCCCCATTATCATCACCATCACCACCACCACAAGCTTGTTGCTAAGTGCACTTTGTGGCTCACAGTATTCAAAAGTCTCACTCAACACTAATGGTAATGTTATTGATACCATCATAAGTATCAGAGTGTTTAAAGTTACTTCATATCCCTCTCCCATACCCCTTCTTCTGTTGTGGAAACCTGACTGAATTGCACCTCCCACCCTGATCCTGAAACCATTTGAACAAATCAAAATAATAGCTGGGTAGGGACTCCACTCTGAAATCTGGCAAAGCCAGGAAGAGGTCCAAAGCTAGCAGGGAAAACCACCGGGATGAAGAAAGCCCAACACAAGGCCCACCATGCCCTATTCCTGATGAGCAGGAAAACCATGGTGCAAAGACCTTACCATCAGCCAGGCATTGGTGGCACACGCCTTTAATCCCAGCACTCAGGAGGCAGAGGCAGGTGAATCTCTGTGAGTTCGTGGCCAGCCTGGTCTAGTCTACAGAGTGAGTTCCAGGACAGCTAGGGCTGTTACACAGAGAAAAGAACCTGTGTCAAAACAAACAAACAAAACAAAAAGACCTTGTCATCATTTAGGCTTCCATGGCCCATCCCAGGGCCATCCTACCTGAGTTGGCATGGAAGTTCCTTTTCTACAGAAAGCACGTTATGGACAGAGGGGTGGCCACCCCAGGTGGAATTTTCACGACACTCTCCCACCCAGGTCTCCCCACACACCCTGATCAAAGGTGAAGCTCTCCCCAGTACAGAGCTATGCCCAGAGAAAGGGAGAGCTCATCAGTCAGTCCTTCCCACCTTCCCATCACCCAGTCTCCTTGTATGCTTCTCTCTCTCTCTCTCTCTCTCTCTCTCTCTCTCTCTCTCTCTCTCTCTCTCTCTCTCTCTCTCTCTCTTTCTTTCTTTGAGACAGGATCTCCCTATGGAGCTCTGGCTGCTCTGCTACTAGGTAGCCATAAACAGACAATGACCATCTGTCTGTCACAAATAAATAATTTGATTTTAAAGAACGGACAACATAGGACCAGCTACTAGAAAGGCTGAAGTAGAAGAATCATGAGTTCAAAGTCATCCTGGGCACTTTAACGAGAACCTGTTCCAAAAGTTAAAAAAAAAAAATTAAAGGCTGGATTGGCCAGGTATGACATAGCCCATGCCTTTAATCCCAGGACGCAGGAGACAGAGGCAGGAGGATTACTGTGAGCTATAGCCCAGTCTGGTCTACATAAGAAGTTCTAGGCCAGCCATGACTACACAGTGAGTGCATCTCAAAAAAATAAATAAATAAATAAATAAAAAACAAGTCTGGGGATGTGTAAGTTCCATGGTACAGTGCTTGCCTGGTATGCAGGAAACCCTAGATGCAGCTGGCAGGGCCACACAGAACATATGCTATGAATTTGAATAACAACAAATGAGAGGCCGACAGCACACACACAAAGCCCCTGGGGCCTGCTACGACAGAAACTCACTCTCTTCATAGACTTCAACCACAGCCAGTTCAGCAGGCTGAGCCGAAGCAAGCCCTTACCAATCAGGCAGATATTTTCTTAGCTGGGTGGTGGTGATGGCGCATACCAGCCTGGTCTACAGGGCAAGCTCCAGAACAGCCAGAGCTACACAGAGAAAGCCTGTCTTGAAAAAACTATGTTATTTCTGGATGAAAAGATGGCTCAAGAGTTATATGGTGGTTTGAAAGAACATGGTCCCCATCGGGAGCGACATGATTAGAGAAAGTGTGGCCTTGTCGGAGAAAGTGTGTCTTTGTGAGGGTGGGCTTTGAGGGCTCTCTTCTCAAGTTTCACTCAGCGTGACAGTGTGACTTCCTGCTGCCTCTGAGTCAACAAACATGTAGGACTCAGCTCCAGCATCCTGTCTGCCTCCACGCTCCCCATCAGGATAAAAATAAATGGAGCGAACCTCTGAAACTGTAAGCAAGCCACTCTAGTGAAATGTTTTCTTTATAAGAGTTGCTGAGAGCCGGGTGTTGGTGGCGCACGCCTTTAATCCCAGCACTTGGGAGGCAAAGGCAGGCGGATCTCTGTGAGTTTGAGGCCAACCTGGTCTACAAGAGCTAGTTCCAGGACAGCCTCCAAAGCCATAGAGAAACCCTGTCTCGAAAAACCAAAAAAAAAAAAAAAAAAAAAAAAAAAAGAGTTGCTGAGGTCATGGTGTCATGGTATCTCTTCACAGCAATTAAAAATCTAAACTAAGACAGCAGTCGAGACTGAGTACTGCTCTTGCAGAGGACCCGAGTTTAATTCCCAGAGTCTGCGGCTAGCTGGTGACCCAGGATTGCCTGCAGCTCCAGCTCCAGGGAATTCAACGTCCCTGCCCTCTGAGATCACCTGCCCTTACTTGCACACACACACACACACACACACACACACACACACACACACACACACACGTACATTTCTTTAAAAAGTTAAAAATACATGCTACTTCTAGTTAGGTGTAATGGCACTAGCCTGTAATCCCAGAGCACAGAAGCTGAGACAGGGGAATCTTGAGTTTGAGACCAGTCTGAGTTACAGAGCAAGATGCTGTCTCAAAAATCTTTTTCTATGTTCAACAATGAGCTTATTAAATAATATTGTTTATTAATTATACATCTATATATTAAATATGTTTGTTATATATTATTTATTATAGTATAATCTATTAAAAATAATTATAAAGCCGGGCGTTGGTGGCGCACGCCTTTAATCCCAGCACTCGGGGGGGCAGAGGCAGGCGGATCTCTGTGAGTTCGAGGCCAGTCTGGTCTACAAGAGCTAGTTCCAGAACAGTCTCCAAAGCTACAGAGAAACCCTGTCTCGAAAAACCAAAAAAAAAAAAAAATAATAATAATTATAAATATTAAGTTCCTTGCTTTTTTTATAGTATAGCAAAGACCATTCAACATAACTATATAAAAAACTGTTTGGGGGCAAGGGAAGTCGGGCGGTATTGCACACCTTTAATCTCAGCACTAGGGAGGCAGAGGCAGGCGGATCTCTGTGAGTTTGAGTCCAGCCTGGTCTGCAGAGTGAGTGCCAGGATAGGCTTCAAAGCTACACAGAGAAACCCTGTCTCGAAAAACAAAAACAAACAAACAAAAAGCAAACTATTTGCAGCAGGTGTGAAATGTCTCAGCAGAGAAAGGAGCTTGCCACCCAATCCAATGACCTGGTTTCAATCTCCAGAACCTACATAAAAGATGGAAGGAGGGAACTGAGCCTTCCACACATATGCTGCAGAAGAACATGGCTTCTCTCCCAGCATCCACACTAAATGTTTACGTTTAAAGCCTCTGTGCAGCCTGGGAACAGTGTTCAGGATGGCGAAGGGTTCAAGCCAGGAGAGTTCAAGAGCAGCGGCCTCAGGCCACTGTGCACTCGCTGGCTCAGGTAGCCCGTCTGCAAGCTGGCATACCAACACTTCCAAGTCAAGCAGGCCTTTGAGATCTCCTGGGGCTGTTGGTCCCAAGG